GGTTTATGATCTTGTCGTGATGTGAGGGGAGAATTTCCCAAAAGGTAGTTGAGAGAAGTGTTGCCCGAGGTGTTGGGTGTGGTGATGACATGACGGCGGAGATGACTGATGCTCTATTTCGGGTGGACGCGCAAGCCGTGGTTTTGTAGAAGCATGCATCGTCTCGGGATGCCGGCGCCTCAACAGTAGATAAGACTTCACAACAACAACAGCGACGTGTTTGCTTTTTGTCGAAGGCGGTGTACGTGAGGATTCTGTAAGTGACGGCGTCCATGCTTCTCTTCTTTGTCGTGCCATTTGGACTGTGGCCGTGATGCGCTTTGACTCAATGCCGGCTCGTCGCGTCCTTAGGGTCACAGCTTGTGTGTGACTGTTCGCGCACAGGACAACCTGACACAGTCATAGTCTCCTACAAAACCTGCGCAGTAAATGTGTAACTCCTTCACATATCGTACAAACCTGGAGTCTTTCATCAAAATGTCGGAATTTTACCCTACCTATGAGGCCTCTTTCACGCTAGAGATGTTTAGGAGAGTTTTAGAGGAACACGACGACTACACGTCAGAATTGAAGCCTCAGCTGGAACATATCGAGGAAAAGTTGAACGAGGTCTTCAAATTGCCGCAGACTTCTGCAGGTGAACTGTGTCCCAGCCGCAAGTACGCTGTCATAGTACCATATGTACACGCTACTAACAGCAGAACAGTTCGGAAAACAGATATTACGAATGTCATCAAAGCTCTAAACATCAAATTCACCGAGGAGAGCATTGGCCATTACTTGAGCCAACTAGCACGCGTTGACTATCAGCAAGGCGGGTTCACAGGTCCGTTCTGGCGAATCTGCTACGTCGGTAAATCCGGGACGAGCAAGATGGATGAGACGAGGCGGCGGGAGGCACATGAGGACATACGCTGGCTTTTTCAGGAAGCTCACAAAGCAGTTGAGCGTTTTCGAGAGTCGGTGTCAGGCTGGATCGTGGAAGAGGATTTAGAGACACTGAAACACGGTTTGAAATGCGAGGAAAGAAATAAGAATCGCCTTCAAGATATCTTGGAAGAAGCTTGGCAGAGCGCAGAAAGAGCAAAGGTGGCTCTAGTTGGCCTGGACACGATGTTCCAAAGAATGCGGAAGGATGCTGGTTGTGAAGATGAAGACGAATAGCTGAGCTCACAGTGGCTAATTCAATTTGAGTCATCAAGCGACTCGTATTCAAGAACTAAACTGGAGTACATATATTTACCACCCTGATATGCTATGATACCAGCACACGAGGCGAGCTATTGAAGTAGCGATATACGTGACGCCAATATACATGTGATGTAGCCCTACCTAGGTAGCCACACTCTTCTGACATCACGTGCTGAACTAAGGAGATTGCGCATGACCTGATCGCCGGAATCAACACCTTACACTCCTTTTTCTACTACAGAGCTGCTCGTATTGCATCTGCACCTCGACATAATCATGAACACAGAACACCAAACTCATGAAGCGGACGAGGAGTACTCTTCAGAGTTCGAAGAACTAGTCAATAAGATTAGCGAGCTGAAGGCAAGGATACCTGGCTGTCTCGAGGAGGTCGATTCACTATGCCACAGCTTTGTGGAAGCTACGCCGGGTACAGCAGAAGAACGCGAGTCAGTTGAGCGAGTGCGGGAGATAGTCGCAGATATGGAAAGGCGGTATCAGGAGATTGATACTCATTACGGCTGGGTATTGGCGTCAGATCGCGAATTTAGGGACGAGGTACTTTGTTCGTGCTTTGGAAAAAAGCTAGACGGCAAGGTTTGGTTGAACAGATCTATCAGGATGCTCAAGAAGACCCGTCGTATACTAGAGATGAGCCAGCAGCGCGTCTTTTGATGGACAACCCCATATATCGCACGCGCATCACCTAATTCCGAAGCTCAACCTAGAAGTACTTTCCCGAAGTCATACCCAGCAAGCCCCAAAGCGCAACCACACCCTGATACGTCGCACGCATCCTAGCAGACCCTTCCTTCGCACATACCACACCGTCAACAATTGCCATCCATCCAATGCAAGCAAGTAGTGTGTCCATGGCTTCCAAATGGCCCCCGAGATAAATTCCCCAGATCGCCATACCAATAGTGGTAACGCGCGAACCTTCGATCTTGATCAGAGGCCACGCTGCCTTCGAAGATGCGATGCTTTTGGAGAGACCGTAGGTCAGGATAGCTTGTTCGGGCCCATGAGTAAAAGACATCAGCCCGCCGAATGTCCAGATGCTGGCGAGAAGGAGAGGCGGGACGTGCCTGGGTACGAAATGCTCGAACATGATTGATAGCGATGTCAGAAGCTGGCAGGCGAGCCGATATGTGTACAAAGAGATTTCTGAATAGAGTAGGTAGGATTCTCTCGACTTCTCTGATATAGCGCGTTCGTGTAAAGGCAAAGGGGCAATTCAAATGTAGTGTGAGTGCGACGTTCGAGTCGAAAGTGACAGGAATAAGTTCGTTACAGTGGCTTGGTGGGGGGAAAGGGGCGCCTGAAGCTTGTGATGTGTCTAGCGCAGGGCGTAATTGTGCTGTTAAATATAGACAACCAGAGTCTAAGTACAGGGAAAGGCCGACGGCGAGCCAGTAGAGAAATCAGCCTCCACTCGCGATGTATCGAGGTCGATAAAGATATTGTCATAGTGCTGTGACCCAACCGGTGCTGCTTTTCCGGGTCCTTAAGGCTCTCGTTCTCTAGCAGCGATGCCTAATTGGAGGAGACAGGAGCGAGCGCCGATAGAGCACCATCTTCTAGCCCGACACCGCTACGGCGATATGCCATAGCCGTTGTCATGATCCCCTGCGATTGCTGCTCAAGGTTGGCATTGTTGTCTTTCCAATGCGGCAAATCCATAGTATCTCTAAATGCTGATTCCCGCCCCACAGCGTTCGGTTCAGACTCCTTGTCTTCGGAGCAGGCAGGCGTAAAATATGTTGAAGGCGGGACAAGTATGGATTTTGCCAAGATCCAGCAGCTGACTACGAAATGATAGTTCGCGACTCGGAATTCTCCAAGTAAGCTGGATTGGGAAGGTTGCCATGCCAATTGGAAATGCATCTGTACATGGCTAATACCATACGACGCTTCCTGCAAGTCTTGTAACGCCTGGAGGTGAGCTTCTTCCTCGATGAGAGTCATTGCACCAGAGCGTAGCTGAAGTCGTGTTGAAAGACGTAGAAGGTGAACCGCGTCATTATCTGTGACATGGCGAATGAGTTTTCGTTGAGTATCGTTCAGCGTGATGTTCACAGAGTCTTCGAATAGACCCACAAAGTCTATAAATGAGCCCGGAGAGTCTCCTACGTTATCCAAGGAGCCTGCGAAAGAGTCGGTAGACGCTGTATCTCTATTCGGTTCATAAAACCCGGTAATGCCGAACACAGTAATATTGCGCGCCTTCTCGATCGACAAGATGCTGGACATGTGCGATGTCGATCCGTGAAACGGGGTCGTGTATTCATTGCCGTCACCAACACTGAACTCTGCCGCTTGATAGAAGAAGTGAAGCGCCTCTTCTTGAATCTGAGGATGAATGATCACCCATGCTGGAAGGGTCTGGATCTGTTCACAAAGTTCATCGCAGTCTAGATACCGCGCGTTGACAGCGCCAGCGAGGCAAAAGTCGTCCTGATAGTAGATATGCGTTCCTTGCCAAGCGTACTCATAGATCTGATCGCGTAGTTCCCTCGGTAGCATCAAGATCAGGTTGGAACAGTCTTTCAATTGATTCTTTCGAGAGATGTCTTCATCGTGGCGATCCCGTGCGGATACATGGCTGTTGCGCGGTCGTGTCCTTTGGCTGCGAAGCCAGCTAAGTGTGTATACTGATGCCTTAGGTATCGTTCGTGGCGTGCACCTGCGTAACTTCTCCAGTAGCCGATAGGGTAGCGATGTGAGATGATGCCGCGCATGGGGCTGCAGCGATTCTGGTGGACCTCGAGCCGCCATAGCTTTGCAATATGCGTTCGAAGGGTTATGTTTGCAGTATTCTAAATGGAAGTATTCCCAGCATATTAGCCACACTTACGATAACTTACTCTGAGTGCAGCCAGGAGAAATCTGGACCTTTGCCGAAGAGCGAGGGCAAGATTGCGCGGCGCTCGCGATCCACAGCTCTACCCATGGAACGTTGAGGGGTGCAAGCAACCATGCCACCAATCGATCTCAGCCCGTTGTAATGGAATTGGTACATTGATGTATGCAGTGCACAAGACCGTTATCGTCCATCTCGAAGGCCGATCTTGCTGCCGATGGACTGAAGTCCGCGGCGTCCGATAACTTTCGACGCGTTGTTGTCGCACGCTGACGAAAGTGTGCGATGTGAGAAAGAATTGGTGCAATGATTGTGTCAAAGCTGGGGATGGATATCTCGCGTGAACGCGTGTGGCGTCATGACCGTGTTCTAGCGCGTAAGATGACGTCACTGGCCGACGAAGACCTCGGAAGGTTTGCAAATAGACCAGCTCCATTCGTTCCAGAAAGCGCATAGATATCAAGGGCCCACTCCCAATTACATACAAAAAACTGACTCTGACACCGACTTTACCCCCACAAAGATTTACCCTAGCAGGCACTCGCCTTGCAAGCTCGCAGGCTTCACTCATCGACCTCTCCACAGTCAGATGATATGAAGCCGTTGTCGCTCGGGCAGCACTCCGGATGTTCAGAGGTGCATGCCTTAGTGCGTGTATATAACGAAGCCCTTCCGCACTCGGTCACGATCTTACCAGAACTCGAGAAGCCTTCGTCTTTCACACCTGCCCATTATATCAGCGAGAGTCGACGCTCAGTTCGGTTTTGCAGACTTTCAGTCAGCAGAGTCTAGAAAGGGCGCGAATGCGGCCTTGCAGTCGGATGGACAGTTGGTAACCCCGTCCGGTATCTGGCTCCATCGGAGGCTGAAGTCAAATCCAATTATATTGGAGTATGTCCAATGCCATTCTTTGTCGAGCCGGTTATCAAACTCGGTGCATGCGGTTTCAATCCAGCTGCGTTAAACTTAGCAGTTTGTACTGAGCTAGAGTTTGGGAGATGGCGTACCCTTCAAAACTGGATCTGGGGTTAAAGGTTTGTGAAGAACCCGGATTCGGGGGGCCTAACGTTCCTTCATCAAACCTTTGCAAATCGCTCTTGCATTCAGCTTCAAGCACAGGCTCGTCGGCTCGCTTGATGAGCTCTTCGAGCCACTCATATTGCGCATCCATGTATCCTTGTGGTACCTCCCAGACGTAGGGATAGTTGACGATTCCGCATCTGCATCCGAGGTTCTTTACCTATTTACCAACGTGTTAGTCTCGGGGCTACATGTTTTCTACAGCTCTAGCTTACAGTGAGACATGTTGGCGTCGAAGGGGTTTTAGAGATCGTTTCTCCGGTTAGAGGGTTTATCACCTCCTTCTGGCCCTGGCAGTTGACGGATGTACAGATGAGGTCCTTGGGACACGCCAAGTCTTCTTCTTTGAAGTCCTTGATGACGTCGTCTTTGCCAACGAATAGTTCCATTAAGGCTTGGCCAGTGAACATAACTGCATGCGCGGCGATGGTAAGACCAAGTGCACTCCTGGCGAGAAGCGAGGGGTCCCAGTTCTGATCTGCCTGAGGGGTTGTCGCTGTAGCACTAGACATTTGTCGATACATTCGAACGAAGGCCACGGATTCACCGATATAGATGTTGGGGATCGGAAAGCCGATGGCCTGGCCGGCGGCCGGCTCAATCGGAACGTTTGCCTGCGCCAATGCCATGAGGTCGTCTGGGCCGGTATCAACAAGACTCATGGCATGGTGCAGGATGCGTTCAATACATTCCTCAGTAGGGTCAGCACGCTTAAAGCTCTGGCCCTGACAGATCTGCTGTGTTTCCTGAAGACCTGTCATGCCCAGGAAGTCTTCAATGCGCTCAGCTGTGCTTTTCGGAATATGGTAAACGAAATCTCCTGCTTCGTGACCGCCACTGGCAGTAGTAAGTGTTTCAATGCTGATGAAGCTCCTGAAATCGATATTAGCACGATACGAAATGTGGTACAACACATGTAACTAACGTAACGGTAGTCGTTGCAGGTGGTTGGTACGTCAAAGTGGCCAATGCAGCGCCCCCATCCGAGGCTGTCACAACGGCGATTTCTTGTGCAGCGGCTATCGAATGGATTTGACGGAGGTCCTCTGGACGGAACCTCATCTCTTTTCCTAGGTCATGCTTGTAAATCCAGATGGCAAAGCCAATCAAAGCACCTACGCCCCATGCGACAAGAAATAAGGTAGCCGGTTCGAAACGTTTGATATGAGTAGAGACATCAGTACTCTGCAGCACAGCGTTCAAAGCATTTTGACACTCTTCGGCCGGTTTATTGTTGCAGCTTTGCGCCCGCACGGTCTCAACCTGCCCGCGTAGCTCAGGACCGAATGCGATAGTGATACCATCGGATGGCCATGCGTCGTGAACCCCGGTAGGGTATACCTGAATCTCCGTCCCGTGGGGCTCTGGGTGAGTGGCCTACGATGCGGTGTTAGTGTGGTAAGAAGGAAGGGGAGGCCGTGATGTACCGCAGCTGGGAAGTATACGTCCTTAGGACCGAATGTGAACGTCGGTATAGCAACGGCTTCGTCACGACGCGAAGGCGATTTTGTCGTCAGGGAAGCTGCTCCAGTAGGTGTTACCAATACCCGAGCTGAAGCAGCCGTCAAGCAAAGTGCCAATGCTAGCAAGCTAAGACGAGACATGGCAAAAGTGCAGAAGCAGTTCGGTGATGAAGCATTTGGAGCAGTGCTTCAAGCTTATATGTAGATAGTTCGGCTTCGAGAAGATCGCGACACGAAGTATAGGGACACATCATGCCATTCCCGTCGCCCCCAATTACACGTTGAGGCCTGTAGAGGCACGGTAGATGAAGGCATCGGCTACGTGCATTTCCACAATGGCACAGCTCTTGGTGCATGATCGAGGCTGTGAAGCATCCCAAATAGACCCCAACGGAGAATGTCGAGCGTTCATGGGCATATCCTGAATTGGCGATGTCAACTTGAAACGTGAGTTGGTACCCGAGAGGATTCTCCAATGTGCCCAGCGTGGCGAAGTGCAGTATGGAAGCGGTTGGGGCGATGGAGCTTTTGATACCGTTGCAATAACGAGCAATTTTTGGGGCGGATATGGAGATCTGCTCGCCATTTGCCCAGCAGAAATAGTTTGTTGTTCTCGAGAGGCGAGGTAGCGAACTGTGCCGTACGGAGCGCGCCTGGATTAGCAAAATGCGTGCTTGAACCCCGAACTGCGCGGCGCAGAACGCGTGGGGCCAGTCTGACATGCTTCCCACCACAAGATGGTTGGCAATAGAAGGGGTGAATTATGGGGCGACTCAATGATGGCGCTTGTCTGATCCGAGAGCGTTACAGAAAGTTGCGTATATGTAAGAGGGTTGCGCGCAAACTTGATGGCCACTTCTGCAGCAATTTTCATTCGCGTTCATGATGCCGTCGTTACTACTGTCTTGGTTTTTGTTCCATGCTCTCATACTAGCCTTCGTCGCTGGCTACAAGATTGACCAATCGTGCGAAGACAAGGGCATTACGCAAGACATTCGTGATGCTATGACTTCGGCCATCGAGAAGGCTGCCGGAGCATACGATACCCTGACATCTCCACTAAGCGACGATGCACTCGAACTTCTGGGTTTCCTGTTCGCGAAAGATGGTATGAGTCCGGCCGAACTCATGGACAAGGGCAAGTTCGGCAAGACCATAGGGGTTTTGCAAAACATCAATGCAAACATGTGGAAGGAAGTGACTGGTACCGCCGAGGTACTTCCTGAAGACGTGGTAAGAGCAACTAGAATCGCTTTGAAGGGTCTACAAGAGACTGATCATTGATCCAGGTCATCTTTTGCCATTATGATCGCTGGAAACCGGTGGAAGGAGAGAAGGACCTTTATCGAGATTCTAGTATGTGATACGGGGCTACCACGCGACCGTGTATTGATTCTATACAGCAAATGGTGTGCGACTAAAGTTCCGTGAGCAAGCATGTAGAGGTAATACGGTCCTCGACAAGATTGCCCTGGCAGTCACCTTCAACCCGGAAACAGAGGTTGTCTGGAAGAACGGAAGGCCCATCGCCGGTACCGGTATGCAACCTGCCCAGATTCAGCTATGTACTTGGTTCGTCGATTGGATCAAGCAGAAGAAGTTCAAGCTTTCTGGTGACGTTCAAAAGAGAACAAAGATTGGGAGGGCGGTGATCAACGCGGCCGAATGGAGACAATTCGGTCTCAGACAGATTGGTGAGTTGTACAAAGATTCGACTAAAGGCAAAAACTGACGAGACATCATTAGATGCATTTTCACTTCTGGATAAGGTTCTCTTACACGAGATGACGCACGCCCGGGGTGCCTACATCGAATACAAAGATGGCGAAATAGAAGCTGAGGGCCTCATAGATGTTACATCTCCCGAACGCTTGCTCGGTATCTGGAAGTGGCCAGCGTATGGATGGAAGGGAGCAACGGCGCTCGCGCGGCAAGGCGATGACCTTGGTGAATACGCCGCACCAGACAACAACGCTGACACTATAGCCCTTTTCGCGAGCGGTAAGTTATTTGAAGCGTGTCCTGGGTATTCGCTGATACGTAATAGGGTGTTCACTGCTCAAGGACCAAAAGAAGATCGATGCCAAAGGACGGATAGTACCGATGCAGGAGGTACCATCGTGAGTGAAGTGCATGAGTGCGATGCAATCCTGCATTGATCGTAAGTCTGGCAAGAGGTGTTCTCGAGTCGTTCACTGTGGAAGCGTTGCTGGTGTTGTATTGGTAGTACTCCTTGTATTATAGAGGAAAGGTCTTCCTGTCGTACTGCTTTTTGAGCCGCAAAATTCTGAATGGTATGTTTCCAAGCGCATCCAGTACCTGCTCAGGCAAATCGACGTTGAGTCCGACTTCGTAGACTACTGCATGCACCTGCTTCAGGGCCTCGAAGATGGAGATGAGTGACTCAGGTTCGGGCGTACCCGCGTTGATATCGTGGAATGCAAACAGGGCCCATATGGTCATCTCGATCCTGAGTAGGCGGAGCTCACCGAGTGTGGCTAACGCACAGCAAGCATCTTCCCAATCAAGGTAGCTTTCTCGCGGAAAGCTGCCTCTGGATGTGATGAAATTCCTCCTCGGTGTCAATATAGTCGTTGAAAGGTTTACCGAGCGTAGCCTTTGCCACATATCTGGGGCTACGAGCCCGCGAAAACTAAGCACTCCTGTGGCGCCTCTGAAACTAAACTGGTTCGCCGTATACAAGACATTCACAGCTTCACGATATCTGTTGCTTTGATTAGCCTTTGTGGAAAGGGCGCAATGAGTATTATACATTAAGCGGCATGTAACGAGGATCGAGAAGAGATCGCCATTGGTATAGTATGCGGGACGGTGCATACGCCCGCTTCGTTCATTCCAGACCCCAAAGCACATATGTTGCCATGTGAGATACATACTGTCCATATCTTCGCAGCGCCAGTGTCCGAGCTTATGGGGCCGGCCCTTCCCAGGGGTAATGTGCAAAAAGTGCAGCAGACGCTGCGGGTCGGCCAGAACCTCTTCGTAGATGAGCAATCGCACTTCAGGCGAGAGCTTGCCGAACAGCATACACTGCTTCTGATCGAGAGGTTCACCTCTCGGTAATTCAGGTCGCGGCGTCGATTTGGCGTCTTGGCTTCGTTTGATACTGATTGTCGTCGTCGGTTCGGGCTTTTTCCGCTGCCATTTTCGGAGCAGGAAGGCGCGCATGGCGGTCTACGTGGCGACGAAGATGGAGGTATCGCAATGCACCTCAAAATGGGTCGAGAATGCTGCGCAGTCGCGAAGGATCTGGTCGCAGATTGTAGGAGCTCAAGAGGCCTTGTTTAGGTGGTTGGGCTTTTGACTGCGCCCAGGTGGCTCGGGACGAGATTGCGGCACAGCAATGCAGCGTGCGAAGACCGAGGGCCGGCGCTTACATGCACATGCGTGCGGTATTAACGCGGTAATCATAGCGTGGAATAGATTGTCGCGTCGGTGCGATGCGAACAAGATCCCGTGTTGATGTACACGGGTGCGCTGATGAGTTCCAGTGATGTTAGGGGAGGGAAGCTGCAAGACGCGTGCCGTCGAATGTGGACTAGCTTATTTTCTAGGTCGCGTAGACCCACCCATCGTCGCGTTTCTCCCTTCCGCCCCTTCCGATAACCTGCACGCACGCGACGCCATTACTGCGATAGACATGTTTCTGTAAATCAACAGTAAACATGTAACTAATACAAAGAGTCCGCGAGAAGGATTTTGCAGTGCAATGCTTGCTTGATCGTTGTCACAACTACTTCATGTCGGCCATCCATGGGTGCTTCAGGAGTTCAGTCGCCGATTTCCTGTCTTCCGGCCGCCATCTGAGCATCGAGCGTATGAAATCGAGAAACAATTCCTTTTCCTTCCCTTCAAGCCCAGAGACTCTTTCCTCGAGTGAGATCTTAGGAATAGTTACACTCCTGGAGCCACCGGTCCAGTATCCTATTGAAGTTAGCAGAGTCTATGTCAGGACAATCGCAATGACTAACCTTGCTCATCGAACACCTTCCTTGTGATATCATTGCTTTGTGTGTATTCAAGCGGAGGCATTCCAAGGTATGCAACCATTTCAGAAATATGATGTGTCCCTGATGGGTTGCCCTCGGTGTCACGGGCGTCGAACAGATGCTCATCTTCAAACAAGTCCCACGCCTAATCAAGGGTAAGTCATTGCGGCTTCCTTATGATAGTTTTGAATACTTACCAACGTGGCGAGACTCCAAATGTCTACCTTGGAGCCCCACTCCATCTGGAAAATTATCTCTGGTGCACGGTATAGCTCAGGCTGAATAAAGCCAGAGTGGGAATCTCCTATCCGCGCTTCTCCAAAGTCACAGAGAACTGGTCGGCCCCAAAGATCACCAGTAGGATGGGGAATCTTGCGGGATCTGTAAATGGTGCGTGTGTCGTCAATCACTTTGGATGGTGACGGGTTTTCTGCTTCAGCTTTCTCGAAGTTTTCCAGGATAGTGTCATCATTCACAGTCAGCATGATATTCCCAGGATTGATGTCTAACTGGTTAGTTGATTCAATTACGTTGCATTATCTTGCCGTACCTGTATGTACGACCTTAGCCTCGTCGTGTAAGAACGACAGTGCCTTTAGCACGTTGGCTAGCGTGAACTTTAGAAGCGGAACGTTGAGCTTGTGTGCTGGGTTGTAATACTGGAGCTGTCGAATAGTCATGTGCATGGGTGGATGAACAAAGCACAAGTGTTTGCCAGTCGGACCGTCGAGCTCAAATTCGCCATACAGTTCGCGGATATATGCTTGGCCGCGATGCTGTGATTGTATAGAACTGACATGCTCGTAAAAGTCTAGCTCTCGATTGAGCTGTGGGGTCTTTTCGGCATCTCGGGTACAAATCTTGACAGCGACGAAGTCAGCGACGAAGCCAGCGTCTCGTTCTCTGTGCACAGATGATCAGAATTTGAAGGGTGGATGGGGGTGAAGAACGCCAAACATACTGAATATCCCGAATATCCCGACACAGCCAGACCGTGGAGTATGCACCGTAACCAAGTTTGCCTATAACCTTAAAGCTAGAATCGAGAATCTCACCAGGTCGTGCTGGATAAAACTGATCATGGCTATACCACGGAAGGCGCTCCTCCTCGAAGAGCTCGCTGGCATTTATTTTCGTACTCTGGAAGCGGGAAATTCGGGAAATGGGAGAGGGAAATTTGAAGCGACTACATGCGCGTTGACTAAATCTCAGCATGGTGGTGTAGAGACGCCATTACATCGTGGGAAGTTAGTGTGACTGTCCAAAGGCGGCATGTTGGCCGCACTGATGCCTAGCACGGGCAATGACGACCACCCGGTTTCCGCCCACATACTACCACCACGACCGACTCCCATCGCGTCCGCCGCAACCCCGCCTGACTCATTACCAAAGACCCAGAAGGCGCCTCCGACAGTTCACGTTTAGCCTTAAAGCGGAGATACCGTTTCAGCCCCCAAGCCAAGCGCGGAGCGGAAACGCCAAGGCAGCCTCCCATCACAAGTATAGCCGCATCCCTTACACACCAAGAGATAGGCCGTTGAGCAACAGGCATCACTAAGGCTGCGCGAGGCACGCGTCACTGACTCGTTCGCACGTGCGAGCTTGTCTTTGCCTCAGCCCAGATGTCGGGCCTGCATCCGCGCTCGCCTTGGCTGGGCCGCCACATGTATCCCCAAGACATCAGGATGCGAGGTGCGAAACATGTGTTGACGCGGAGCTGATAAGCTGGCTGTGGATGTGGATGTGTTTAAAGATGCGGTGGACGTCGTGTAGGGCCTGGAATAGGCAAGCGATCTTCGCATTTTTTACACGTTTGAGACGGCTTTCAGTATGGCTGGTGACTCTTCGACTCAGGCGGCAGAGGGCTTTTTGCAGTATCATGAGCCGAATAGTAGGTTCTTTACTTTCTTACATGGTCTTGCTTTCACTGACCTTAAGTAGTCATCCAGATTCTCGTCCTCGTTTCGTTTTTCTTTTGGCTTTCCTTCGGGGAATGGCTCTCGAACCGGGTGTTCCGCGCTGGCCTTATAGGTCAAATCATAGTCGGTCTGATCTATGGTCTGCCTATCGGAGGTGATATGATACCCATCGCATGGCAGGAAGCCTTCATCGCACTAGGGTACATTGGTCTTGTTCTCATCATCTTTGAGGGCGCCCTGGCCGTGCGGTTGGATCTGCTCAAAGCGAACTTTGGCCTCTCTGCTATTGCGGCGACTATCGGTGTCGTCGCTCCTATTGGGCTTACATATCTGCTGCTATATGTCGGCTTTGGGTATGGAGCGATCGAAACGTTCATCGTTGGGGCTGCGCTCTCGGTCACCTCTCTTGGGACGACATTTGTGGTACTAGGCAAGAGTTCAAAGGAGATCAGCTTCGCCGATACTAGAGTCGGTACCGTCCTGGTCAGCGCGGCTGTGTTCGATGATGTTTCCGGTCTAGTTATGGCGAGGTAAGACACGAAGTTACCCAAAACAAAGACTATAACTAACATCCCTCAGTGTAATCGGCCAACTCGGCGCCCTCGGAGGCGACGACTCCCCCAACCTAGGCTGGCTAATCGGTCGCCCCACACTAGTATCCGGTCTCCTAGCGATCCTCACTCCTGTTCTAAACAAATGGGCAATCGCACCTCTATACCGAAAGCTTATCGAGCCACGCCTCCCCAAGACACGCAAACGCCACGTCGTAAACGTCATCATTATGATCTTCGTTCTATGTGCATTCCTCAGCATCACAGGCTTCGGCGGCACCTCTGTCCTCTACGGGTCCTTCATGGCGGGCGCGTTCCTCACCTACCTCCCTTCCAAGCACCCAACAGGTCCCTTCCACCCGCCTTCGCGCGAAGACGCGGAAGAAGCGGAAGCGCGATCCATTGCCGAAGCGACTGAGTACGACGATGCGGGCGAACCGCTCATCTGCCCTACATTCATGCATACGTTTGAAAAGTACTTCCTCGACGCTGTCAAGTACCTCTTACAGCCGCTCTTCTTCGCATCGATTGGCTTTGCTATCCCCTTCATCGATCTTTGGACTGCGGAGGCGTTCTGGAAGGGCTTTGTTTACACTTTGCTCATGCTCGTCTCCAAAGTCATCGTCGGCCTTGTCATACCTTTCGCCACCATCTTCCGCAGACCGCCCGGTATGTCTATCCGCGAGTGCTTCACCACCACTTTCTGGCCGGCGATGCTCCTAGGATCTGCGATGGTAGCGCGTGGTGAGATCGGTCTGCTCGTCGTACAGATTGGTCTCAATAACACTCCGTACCTGTCCAAGGAAGCCTTCATCACCGCCGTATGGGCCATTGTGCTGAACACCATATTCGGCCCTGTAACCGTAGGTCTTATCATCAAGTACAAGGCGCGGGCCATTGCAGATGGCGTATGGGGTCTCGAGAAGACGGAGCCGAATGGCAGTGGCTGGGACGATGGAGTCTCGAGAGCGCCGACCATCGTCCAGGAGACGATGAGTGTGAAGGAGAGGAGTAAGAGTGTTGCGGTGTCGCAGCATAGTAGGATGGTGTCTGATCCGGTGACTGTACCGATCTCGCCTTGATGGCTGTGACGTGGTTTCTTAGCTTTTATGACGAATTTATGATATTTCCTACTTGCGAATGCCGTCCTGCTTTGAGTGATATAACGTGAGCTGTGGTCAGAGAGGATATTCAAAGTCGCATCACCACATCTGTCTCTAGGTCTGACATAGGTGCTACGGCGACGTATGTTCGGCAGGTATTAGATGTGAATCGCTCCTGTGAGCGCGAAAAGCGAGGATTGTGTCTGATTGAGAGGGGTATGCGCAGCTAAGTATTCAGAAATTGCAAATATAAACAACATGATCACACAAATCACCAAGAACGAGCGGTGTTCGCAGAGTCAACAGTCATGCCCAGCCCAAGATTTCGCCAAGCACCCATGAATAGACTCACACTCATATACCACGTGCAAACATCCTTCACCCATACGGCAGGTTTAGCTAGACCAAAACCACCCACTCCTCTTCTTCCGCTCTTGGGTCTCTGGCTCGGCTGGCCTTGGCTGGATGTCGTGGAATGCCCTCCAAGGATCGCGCTGCTGGGTTTCGGTCTCTTGGCCGCGCTGGGTATGCACCGTCTCCGAGCTCTCTTCTCGACCATCAGCGAAGCGTTTCTTGAGCACGACTTTGGTCGTAATGGAGCCGTCAGAAGCAACGGTCCGCTCGGTCGTCGTAAGTGTGGAGAGAATCGAAGGCTTGTCCTCCTTCATCCGCTCAGCGATCGCAGACGTTACCGAGATAGGCCCGGGGACTGAGGGTGAGGGTTGCGACACAGCCTCCATACGTTCGTACGCATCCAACTCAGTCTCCGAGTCCTCATCTCTCTCGTGTGCTGCGTCTAGAACAGTATTGTATGTGTCACGTCTGACTGTGTCGGCGTAGGGGAAGCGGTCTTGTTTCGGCGTAGGCGGATCGTCATGTTGGTCTTCGTGATCGTGGCTGTACTCGTAGCTTGGCTCGTCGCGTGTCCCAAGGCGAGGGCAGCTGGGCGCATCGTTGCGGTCCATGTGCTCCTCCAGTTGGCGTTGTGTGATCGGGATCTTGCCATGAGTCCAGTACTTGTCGGACGTGTCAGACTCCATGGCGCCAGGACATTCGGGCTCTGGCTTCCCTTGCATCGTCTCCTCCAACTGTTGTTGCGTAATTGGTATCTTCCTTGGTCCCCAAGCCGGTCGGTCGGACCTCATCATACAATGTGAGACTTCGCCTTGCTCTGCTAGCAGGTCCTCGTAGGCTGCCTGCCAAGGTACACCGGCCTTGTTCATTTCGCGGTTCTGCTCGAGCGCGCGGGGAGAGTATGCGGGGTCGTCGGTCTGCGATGCGTCTGCTGGTGGTGGCCACTGCCATGATTTGGACCATGACCAGACGCGAGGCTTGCCGTCTTCAGGGCTAGGCTCGTAGTTGTTGAATCTGGCAACTTCCGTCTCGCGGTCATCCCAGGCCTTGTCGTTGAACTCCTCGGCCAGCCTCTTCGCCTCTGCCTGCATCCGCAACAATCTCTCCAACTGCATCCAATCCTTCGATCTTTCTTCCTCCGAGTTGGCAGATGAGTTCCGGCCGTCGTGATCAAATGGCCGAGGAAAGCCCCAGTCCCATGACCATCCCCACTCCTGACCCTTCTCGTTGGCTACCTTTTCAACCAGGCTAGCATCGTCGCGTCGCGCAACCTGCTGCTCGTCGCCTCTCCTGACATTGCCAAGTATTTCCATTCTTATGTCGTCAGCCTTGCGGTCGAGCCTCATCAGCTCTTCGCTGTTGCGCAAGACAGCCTGCACATCGCCAACTCTGAACAGCTCTCTGCCTTCGTGGCGCAGCTCGGCGATGTCGGCTTCAATATCGTGAAGCTTGTCGCATTGTCTTGGATCGGCCTTGCCAAAAAGGCACTGCTCACGTGCTTGGTGCGCGTTGTTGTAGTTGGCGATGGTGGCGGGAAGCGTGAAGACGGTGTTGAGCAGCGACGAGACCTGGGAATCGGCGAAGCGGCGGAAGGCGATGAAAGGATTGTCTTCGGGTCGATTGGGATCGCGTCGGGGATTATCGTTGTCGTTCGTCATAGTGATAGATAGTAATGTGGGTGTTGTGATGGCACTTGGCTGATGGTGGGGAAGACGGGGTCCGGAGTGATGATGATGCCTGGAGATAGCGGTGGCTGCCTCGGCGATAAGGCCACAAGGCACGCGCCACCCGTTTCGACGCGTCAAGCCATCGCCCCTGCCAGCCAACCGCGCTTCCGTCACTTCATCTCTCCAAAACGGCGCATCGAGAGGACCCCCATCGTCGCCCAATGAGTATTTCGCATTTCCAAAATGTTTTCGGCCTCTCTTTCGCTATTCTTACCATCACCAAGCGTGCACCGCCATAGGACCCAGACATGCTGAGCCGGCGATTACCTTGCCCAAGAGCTGCCGCGCTTCTCTGGACTTCAGGAGTCAGTATGAAGATTCAATATTTCCAAACAACCTTCATCTATCTATTATGGCCCAAGATCTGCCTACATGACTCCACCTACGTATTGCCAGAATCTGTGAGTGTTGCATCGCAATCAAGGCATGATCTTGGCTTTCTTGGAAATCTACGCGGGTTTGGGATCCTCTCGGCAATCTGCAGTAGTCTGACTTCAACACCATCGACGACGCTATCCGCAAAACCAAGAGCATCGCCATCTTTTGCTCGAGACATACGCGTAAGGCCATTACGAAAAAAGCCGCAGTGGATATTTCAACCCAGCATTATTCAGCACCGCCTACGATCTGCGCCTTATCGTCTTACCGCCCGCTGGCAGCCAAGGAGCCAAGTGCGCGGCATGCGAAGACAATTGACTTCAAGACCTTGATCGTCCCGGATTAGAGCCGCACTGCCCAAAATCTGGACCTGCCCAGTCCAAGCAGCCATACACAACGCTGCTTTCCACTGCCCCGTGATAGGTCTCCACGCTTTAGCGACGCACTGCGCGTCATCCCGAGCGGATTTGGACGGGCAATCCCCGCCTGTAACTCCTTTCACTCCTGGGCCATTCCTACTGCGGCCTTATCACTAGCGATCGAATACCCACGTTTCCTGTTTCTGATCTTCGAGGAATGTGTTTTGACAGCTGCGCCAGCGGGCTGGGTACGTCACACAAGATCTGCGACACCAGCAAAGAGGTATAAGTAGCGGAGTAAACACCGCGTCTCAAGAACAAAGCATTGTTTCATCTCGAGATTTCATCAACATATATCACCAGACGCTTCCCTTTCATCTATACCGATACGACGTATAACACTTGTCCAATCGCTATACAACAAGGTCTGAAAGTCCAAGACCTGCTATTCTCTCTTCTGTAAAGGCCCAACGAATCGTCCTCGATATTCGCAACACCACAACCACTTCATCACTTCCTCATCTCCAATATGCGTTTCTCCGTCATCATCGCCACCCTCCTTGCTAGCGTTGCCGTCGCTATGCCCGATCCTCTCCCACAAGGCTACTCCGGTCCCTGCTCAAAGGACAACTGCGGTGTTAGCGGCAAGGTGTGCTCAGGCGGCGCAATCTGTGTGGGGTGGCCAAGCACCGATCCCGCCAAGAGGAAGGGATGCACCTGCAGCCGGGGTTAAGCATTTGATGCTGAGTTTTTTTGCATTGGCAGGCGTGTGTAAGTATAGTGAGGCCGAAGATGAAGCAACGCTAATGCTCGCCAGATGGCATATTACAGCGAGATTGACTGGAAGCATGTTGGTTGTAATCTAGATGGTGTATTATTTATGAATGATGAAGACAGAATTTCGACCAAAAATGCTTACTATCATCTGAGTGCCACACAAACCTCGATACTTTTAGGTCGTGAGAAATTGCCACCGCGATGGGCCTCGATAGTCGGTAACTGATCTCTTCACTGTGTGGTGTTGCCTTGGAGTGAGCTTTTCGCGCCTTCCTGGCTTGGCACGCTGGGGCCTCACTCACAACTGGCTACCTCAGCACATGCACGTCAATGCTGCTAAAAGACCACCATTCGATAGCACCACTCTCTCACCAATTCATAAACCTGCAACCACAACGCATACCCCAATACTTGGAGCTGACAACAAATACCATCAACCATGATGTGGAGCACCCAGTTGCCGTTCCGCCCTCCACGTCCCAGACCATTCTTCGACCTACCGTGGGATATCCGAGAACAGATCTACAGTTATATCGAGCTCGATGCGCTTCCACCGCTGTCAAATGGTACCGAGTACGCTGGCTTTGTTCTCTCGTGCAAGCTCGCCGCCGAAGAGCTATCTCATGTCGCGACCGTGAATTATCGCAAATACCTCCATGACTTCGAGCGACTTTCGAGGGAAAGACTTGGTTACAAAATCATAGTCGCTCAACCGGAGCGGGCAACAACTGTTAAGACTCATCCTTTTGCGCACCTCGCTCGACTTAAGGTCAAAGTACCATTGAAAAGTCGCGCCGTCTTCAGTGACGATAGACGAGATGTGACACCATGGTGTGATACTTTCCACCCTCTCTTCGGACTTCTTCTAGAGAATCTACAAATCCACTTTGTTGCGCCAAACCTTTCGAGTTTGAAAATGATGAGAACCGACGTCGGCAACATGTATGAAATTATCGAACGTGTATTCGACTTCATTGAAATAATGAATTCACAAGTACCGGAACGTTCTACCCCCGTTAGAGGTCCACCAGGTCCACCAGGTCGACATGAACGAAGAGTATTTCAATTCCTCAACCAGTTTGAGGCGCAAGTTAGTGGCTTTACACGATCGAAACGCGTGAGTGTAAAGGCCATTTGCTTTTCTTGGGATTGTCGAAAACATGCTCAGTCCGGATCTCCGGCCAAAATGATGGGGCCGGTCTGGTCACACACCTTACGCCTTCGTGACGTTCCGGGAAGAGACAGGCAGACATACCACCGTGTACATGATGTAGACGGCTACGCAGGAGAGATACGGATCGCGAGTTCTGGACGCTGGGCTCCCACATCAGTCGGTCTGCCTTTGCGTCTCTATGACAGACCCAGCAAGGTGGTTTTACTGCAGATGAAGAACCTAGGCTTCGGCGAAGCAGCACAGATCCTGAGCAAAGTGGAAATATGAGGGAGAGAAAAGGCGTAGGATGAGATGAACGCCGTCCATGCTCTTTCGGCGTCCGATCGGTAATATACGATTTCCTCAACGGGAGAGTGGGTCTCCATCTAGAACACTCCACATGTAGTACGAAATGAAGACTTCCGTCTTACACGACGACCAACACATTGTACCCCGACTGTGTAAACAAACACGTCCTCGACTAGAGAAAGACAAACATTCCTCTCCAGGAGCTCCATGCAATTGGCGGATGTATTCTACTCACCGTGATCGGTAACAGCAATCGCATGTGATGAAAAGCAACACCCATCCCAGGTCCAGCGCACCACAACGCCCATGTACGGTGCCTTCCCCGGATAGAAGGACACCCAATATGCCCTTTCCCCGGAAATGCACCCCATATTCCACTCCACAGCGGCTGAAATGCCCCCTAATGAAGCGTGATCGCTACCGGCCCCACGCCCATCAAAAAGTATTCTCCACGAATAACGACATGCAGAAGCAATACAAGACATTTTGGCACCGGCAATACGCCGCCTACGCATCGAACCTCAAAGATTGTACGTGACGCAACGCCAGCTACGCGCAGGGATCGGTTGTTGTGGCACATTGCATTTAACCGCGATTAGAGGCGCCAAGCCTGCTTAAGTCGAACTCCCGAAGGGTACACGTGTGGTGCTAAGGAAGACAAGAACCGGCGCCGGAAGCTTCATTTAGATTAATGCGAAACAACGACGTTTCGTTGTCTATACTGCATGGGGGAAGCGCCGGGCGCGCTTTGGGTACAGGCTGATCGACGACGCGCAGGCACTGTGGCGTGTTAGATGAATTGTCCGGCTTCCCGCTACATGTGGGTAAATTTCCTAGGGCTAACGCATACATGTTTCCCCGTACTGGTGGCGGCATGCGCAAGGAGGGACCGAGGTGGGCTTGGTCGGATGGATATTGTTCGTAATGAGCAGGAGGGTGCGGAGATCGCTAATCTTGCGAGCAATATCAGTATAGGGCCGAGGGAGTTGGAGGTCTGGTATAAGTAGTCTGGGGCTCTCGACCTGAATTGAGGTATCCAGCAGCCTACATTCTTTAGAGTCCAAGTTCAGTTACCAGTCTCGATATACCATTCTCACCATGAAGATTTCTCTCGTCACCATCTTGTCCGCCGCCGCGCTGGTCCAGGCTGCGCCTTTCGCTGAGCCAGAGGCTCTCCTCGATGAGCGCCAGGCTGCGCAGAGCATCGATGCTGCCATGAAGGCAAAGGGCCGGAAGTACTTCGGTACCTGCGCTGACCCAGGTCGTCTCAACCAAGGCAAGAACGCCGCGATCATCAAGGCGAACTTCGGTGCCATTACACCTGAGAACTCGTAAGTCTTTCCAACCTCCCGAACGCAGTGTTGTGTGCAATGCTAACTGCCGGATAGCATGAAGTGGGATGCCACCGAGCCTTCCCGTGGAAACTTCAACTTCGGCAACGCCGACCAGACTGCCAAGTTCGCAAAGGACAATGGCAAGCTCATCCGTGGACACACCACCGTGTGGTACTCCCAGCTGCCCGCCTGGGTCTCCCAGATCAATGACAAGGCCACCTTGACCACCGTCATGAAGAACCACATCACCACCCTGATGAACCGCTACAAGGGCCAGGTCTACGCTTGGGATGTCGTCAACGAGATCGTAAGTTGATATTCATATCCCGGTCCGACTGGAACATAGACTGACTTCTCCACAGTTCGAGGAGGACGGTAGCCTCCGCCACAGTGTCTTCTACAACGTCCTCGGCGAGGACTTTGTCCGAATTGCTTTCGAGACAGCCAAGGCTGTTGACCCTGCTGCGAAGCGTTACATCAACGACTACAAGTAAGCAAATCCTCTCAGACTCCATCAAGATCATGACACTAACAAGCGCCTAGCCTGGACCAGGCGTCCTACTCCAAGACTCAGGGTATGGTCCGCAACGTCAAGAAGTGGATCGCCGCCGGTGTCCCCATCGACGGTATCGGTTCGCAGGGTCACATCACCTCCGGCCAGGGTGCCAACGCTCCCGCCGCCATGGCCGCGCTCTGCGCTGCCGCCCCCGAGTGTGCGCTTACCGAGGTCGACATCCAGAACGCCCAGACCTCCGACTGGCAGAACGTTGTGAAGGCTTGCTTGGACCAGAAGAACTGCGTTGGTATCACCGTCTGGGGTGTCCGCGACAACGACTCCTGGAGGCCCAACGGCAACCCCCTTCTCTTCGACTCCAACTACAACGCCAAGACAGCTTACAACACTGTCCTTGCTGCTATCAACAAGTAAGCGCGTCACACACCGTGCACATCGCACACTTTCTGTATATATTTTGTGGTGGATTGGGTAAGACTTTGTACATACATGGAGGGACAGCAGAGACGTCTTCTGGCTATACAGCCCAGCGTTTCAATCAATCTTGTTCTCTCGACCAGTCACGATGCTCTCCTTCTGTGCACCCTTCAATGCTTTGATGATACTTACGCCGGCATCCGCGCTGGCTCCTACTTCAGCTTGTTTCGTCCAGAATATGTCGGCTGCATTGATTCGAACGCTTTTACGTCTCTCCCGCTCCGTCACGTCAAGATGGGACTTCTTCTCTGCAGTTGCCTCTAGCTCGTCCAGATGCTTCTTTCTCCTCGCGTATCGCTCTGCGCGCTCTTTCCGAGTCTGCTCCGAACCGATCCTGGCTAGGGCAAATCGCACAGCAGCTCTGAAGCCCATGAAGATGTGTTCGGAAATGAGGATCGTCACCGGTAAGCTGGCCCACATGCTCAAGCCAAGATATTTGCCAAGGAATTGCTGGGAACCGAACATGTGTACAATGGCCGCACTGGATATACTCCCCAACCATGTCAATGACTCTAGACTGGCCACCCACGGCCCGATTCCGTCACTACGTGTTGAGTGAGGACGCTGATGCTCGACACAGATCTTCAGGAAGTCCGACCGCAGCTCGATCCAGTTGTTGATGAAGAAGCCGATCGGCACGAGAGGCCACACAGGACTGAAGAGCGCAAGGTAGCCAAACTGAATGACCATCTCTGCAATATCCTCTTGGACGTTGTATGATGGTCTCAAAGCTTGCCGTCTCGTGCGCCGTAGAAAGCGAGATTCCGCTGGATCTTCTGCAGTTGGACTCTCATAAGGGTCGCTGCTGCGATTCTTTGCTCGGCTAGCTTGTCGGTCACGCCACCATTGTTTGACCTGAGTCTTCAGCCAAGGTAGCGCAAGCTCTTCGATTGCGCTCGAGACCTGCCCTGTTACGGTGAGCGCGATGACTTCGTTACGCAGCCGGTCAGGGTCGGCCTTGAACACCATCTTGGCTCTAGTCTGCGCGCCTAGTGTGGCATCGATAACGCGTTCCAGCAACGGTATAATTTGTCCACCGAAGGGTACGTATATGAATGCTGTAAGAAGGATTGGTAGATAGTTGGTGATTGAGTTGAGCACAAAGATCTTTTGAGTGAGCGACATCTCGTAATGATCAGCTGTTCGATGGTTCTCGTATTCCGTCAGCGCAGTAGCGATGTCTTCCAGAAAGTTCGTCGCGTATGGCAAGAAAACTGCAAGAAGCACCGTAGGCAGGTATTCCTAGTGAAACGTTAGTACAGTACAGCGCAATGGGTGGGACTGGGCATATACTGACCAGATAGAACTTGTAAGGCCCTTCATAAGCTTCTCCAATGAATGTCTCGATGGTAAAGACGAATGCGATTAGAATCCCGAGTAACAGAGTGCTGACAAGAACGAATGGTATGACGACCAATTGACGCACAATCCTCTTCCATCTTGGGAATACATGCCGAACTCTTCCAGCTGAGTCGATGATCTCTTGCTCATAGCGAAACTGCGGACGGTTGACTTTGAGGTCGCCCACGCCTCGTACCTTCCATCGGATTGCGAGATCGGTCTGTTTGATCTTCCAATACTCCAAGAACACAGTGCACCAGACTCCGATTAGTAGTGCGAACACCAGAGAGTATTTCGGCAAGAATGCCCAGGCAAATACACCAGCAGCGCAAGGGAATGCCAAAGATCGAAAGTAAGTCTGGATGAAGGCAAAGTAGAAGGCAACTTTGGCACCCCATAGATCACGTATACGATCCAGGTCGGCTGGTTCTAAGAACACACGAGTGCTCAGATGGGCCAACAACGCGCGGTTTGCACCTGAGTTGTGTAACGGGAAGATTGCGGTCACGTTTTCCCATGGTGGAAACTCTGGTGTAATACCTGCGCCTCCAAGCTCTTTGCGCCAGTTGACAAGGTGATACATGGAAAGCAGATCTTCGGCTTCGAACTCTGCTGTGACAACGGTCTTAGCGGTCCCGCCAGGATGGTCTTTAGTGATGCCATACAGCCAATCTTTGACTCTGCAAAAGCCTACTTAGCCTCCTTCCAAATCATGAGGTTACGGACGAGCTGAACGTACCGCGACTTGTAGACTGTGTTGCCAAGCAGATCTCTGGGCGCTTGGACAAACACCAACAATGTTTGATCATACCCAGGGCGTACCTCAGTATTGAGGCCTGCAGACTCTAGGTCATGCAATAGCGTCCTGCATTCTGCGATGGCGACGTCGTCATCTAGTCATCGTCAGCCGTCCGCTCTAACACAATGCCTCAATGACAAAACATACCGATATTACCAAAGTCATACACTATAACGTACTTGTCGTTATACGTGACGTTCGTAAGCTCAGTATCATCGCTCAGCGTCGTATCCGATCTCTTCAAGGGTCTGATTGACATGGCCAAAAGGGCTTAAACCGAGCGGAGAACCAGGGTAGCTGTCGAGACTGTGAAAAGTAGGGTCCACAACTGTGGCTGAAGGTTTTATAGCGTTGAGCCACTGAGACGTCGTCATCGTGCTGGCCATGGCTCCTGTGGAGTCGGGCAGGCCTCAGCTGTGTCGCGGATTGGTGTTCGGTGGTGGGACCAACGCGTCTGAGTGCCAAACTTAGCAAGCGGATGCCGACTGATCCGGAACCGCGGGGGAAGACGGGTGTTCACTTCTGTCGCGTGTGAGGCGCTGTACATTTCGCAGGACGTCGCACGCTGCGACCACATTGAAGGAGAAGAAGGTGCAGGGCCTGGAATCTGGAGATGGAGCGACGGAGCGATTGATGGAGATACCATCACACATGCGCGTCTGTTCGGGCCTAGCGCTCGAAACTGTCAATGACGTAAGCTATCGGAGACGCGTCGAGACGCGTTGTCACAATGCCAACGCTTCACATTTGCTTTATCTGCATTTCTTTCGCGAGCGCGATGCATCGTACACAAAGAGTGCAAGGAAACTGTCCAGCACTGTATCGTGATCTAAGAGCCGCTCGACCAAATGGACACAAAACTCGCAGCCACTAAACTTTCTCTAGAGTAGACGCAGCTTCAGCCACAATCATGCGTCAAGAGATTACAGTTACACATCAGTCACCGGTACCCAAATCCTACGGATTCCTTCCGAAAGGCGACCGCTACAAGACACTGCATTGCCGCAAACTCACCCACGAAGCCGGGCGTCCTTTATACATCGTCCTCGACGACCAGAAAAGAACGACTGGCATCCGTATCCCCTTGCACGTTCTGCACAAGGTCAACAAGCTGTCGAAAGAAACGTTGTCAACCCGTCGCGCAGCTACAACGAAGCGCGATGCAACTGACATTGCGAACGCAGCTGCTGAGATAGATACGCAGTTTCCGAAGATACCAGCGTCAGAGAAGCAAGCCGTACTTAAGCACGGCTTCAAGAAACACTCTGGTCGAGTCGGCCGAACGACCTCAATACCGTTATCACGGAAGATTTTTTTTGCTGTCATTGCGCATGTCCGCCATACGCACACTGACTATGATGCGTTGTTGCAGGGTGGAAAGAGCAGGGGACACGCGAGGAAGACCACGAGAAAAGGTATTGAGACTGTGATGCGGAAGTGGGGATACACTAAAGGTACGAGAGGGAAAGCGCTGACTCCACGTAAATTGACTTACTGACTGTAAAGAACTCAATTGGTACTTCCGGACTGAGAGCGCATAGGGTCGGGGAGATGATGGTTATTTGAAGAGGAACAAAACGCCTATGATATGGTATCTGCCATGCAAAAAGACGATTACAAAACCCATTCACTCCACGCTATGCCATGATCCAAAGCCCATTTGACGCCTGCCCGACTACGTGACTAAAGCCGCATAGTACGTGTTCTGCCTGTGAGGGATATTCAAACCCAGGGCGGTTGTTTGCGTATCCAAAAGTATCGCTTGCGAATACTAGCCGTCGTCTGAATCGACTACCATACTCTCCCCAAACGCACTAAGATCCTCCTCCGCCGCGCCTTGCGCGTGTCGCCTCCTGCGACCTCTCCTGCCAGCAACCCGATTCTGTTCGATTTCGCGTAGCTTGCCATTCATTCTTCGCTCGAGCTCCTCGATCTCTTCGTCTTCATCTGCGTCTCCTGTCATGTCTGGTCCTCCCGCTGCTCCAGACTCAAGGAGTCCGCTGTCTGACTCGTTAATCTCTAGCGCGCGATTGAGGAGGTCGGTAGCCATTGGGTCCTGGGGCGAGACGGCGAGGGCTTCGTGCAAGGTGATGATAGCGTCCCAACTTCTGTTGAGGTTTAGGAGAACCAGGGCTTTTGCGGTGAAGACGCTCGGGTCCTTTATGCCGTGCCGAAGCACTTCGTCGAATGTCTCGAGAGCTTCGCTGTACTGTTCACACTTGCGAAGCGCATGGGCGAGATTTATCCGTGTGGGTATCCAAGCATCTGGGTCTGCTTCGTTCTGCTCTGAGAAGGCTAGCGCGCGGCGGAAGAATTGTATAGCGTCCAGTAGTTGTCCTTCGTGGAAGTAGACAACGCCCATCTCGTTAAGAAGGCAAGGATCGTTCTCGCACAGATCGTATGATGTCTTCAAGTACTCTCGCGACAAACTCAGATTGTTCAGTTGTAGGTTTTGCATGCCGAGGAATAGCTGTGGGAGATGCGAGCCTTGGAAGAGACGTGCCGCGGTGGAGTAGGCGGAGATGGCTTGATCGTGTTCCCCTTCTGCGGCAAAAGTATGCGCAAAGCCTATCCAGGCAGGGCCAAAGTGTGGGTCCATCATGGAGGATTTGGAGAAGTAGCGGCGTGCCTCAGCTATGCGACCGATTGCGAGATAGTAGGTACCAACGGCGAACCATGCGCATGGTTCTGAGGGGTTCGTGTCTGCTAGTTCGTGCGCAAGCAGGAACAGAGTGTTCTTTTCGCCAAGCTCGTGCAAAGACGCTATATGTATGGGCATGATGTTGAAGTTGTACTTGTCGTTCGCTAGGACGGCCGACGTAAGGGCAAGGGTATCGCGGAAGCGGCATAGGGTGAACATGAGATCCGCTTTCGAGAGGACTATGTCAGGGTTCTCGCCAAGGTGGTAGTGAGTCGTGAGTGTCTCTGTCGCGTTCGCAAACTCTTCTGGTCTGGTGTACTTGGATAGGCGTGTTGTGTAAAGGGTCTTGGTGAAGGACGCGGCCTCCTGTGACAAGGAAGGGTTGTTGGCGACGTTGATGGTGTCGAAGTTGAGCGATTCGAGGAACTTCCACTCCTCCTCTGGTGCCATCAATGAGTTGGACATAAGCGCATCGAAGGCCTCGAAGCATTGCACGTCGATCTGAACCGCCGTCTTGTAGCATTCCTTGGCCCGGTCGAAGGAGTTCTGCTTTGCATAGCACACACCTCGAAGATAGCACATGCCTGCTTCCGACTTGATGTTGTTAACATCTTCTCGATCGCGCTCTTCGCTCGTGGGTAGGCGCTCGTTGCGCGAGCCGTTCTTGGTCTGTCTTGCGCCGGCCCGTGTGTTGACGTCGACATGCCGCAGCTTGGTGCGCGTATTCCCTGGCGCCGAAATGAGGTGGGTTGGGTTCTTGTCGCCCAGTATCTGCAGTGCGTCTTCCAATTTCCCCAGCTTCAGAGAGCAGTGCGCAGCGAGGTATCGACATTGGGGCGTGCGCTCAACGAGGTTTCCGCGTGCGAGGAGTGACTGGGTCCTGTTGTAGTTGCCGGTGGTGAAGTGCACCTGGGCTAGCCAGAATGCGTCCTGGTCGTCATCTATGCGATTTTGTCAGTATACGTTGACCTGCCGAGTGTTAGAGCATACCCGTCAAGGCCAGCAGCTTGTCTGCAACAAAGATGGCTGTGTCGTACTGGCAGCGATTGAGGGCTTCCTGGCGCCACTCGCGTAGATATTTCTCCATAGTGTTACTATCGCATTGGGTATAGTCTGTTCAGGCGGGTTAGTGAATGTGCCCCAAATGCTATCCCCAGTCGAGGTGGCAGTCGGCGGCGGCGCGATGTTTGGAGCCAGGGTCGCGCCTGCCCGACGCGAGAGCACATGTTTGCGGGGTGCCTGCAGCAGCGGGCCGCCTTAGTCAGCCACAAGTTGCGCGCTAGGGTTGCCGTTACCTGGACGTGATTTCTAGCACTCAACTGACATCCAACACCCCACACACGCTCATCCATATCAAACGCGACACCTTCATTTGCGCAGCATAAACCTTTATATTCTGTTTCAACGCATCCGCTCGGAGCACCCGATCAGCGCCGCACCGCACCAGACGTCGTATAACCCGCCGCCATGTCCGAACGAAAAGTGCTCACCAAGTACTACCCACCGGATTTCGATCCTTCGAAGATCACGCGCCAGCGCGGCCCCAAGAATGCCGGTCCTAAGCTGATGACGGTCCGCCTCATGGCACCTTTCTCCATGAAATGTACCCACTGCGGCGAGTTCATCTACAAAGGCCGCAAGTTCAATGCGCGCAAGGAGACGACCGACCAAAAGTACTACAACATCGCCATCTTCCGCTTCTACATCCGATGCACGCGATGCTCCGGCGAGATCACCTTCAAGACAGACCCCAAGAACATGGACTACGAATGCGAGCGTGGCGCGAAGAGAAATTTCGAGCCGTGGAGAGAGGCCAAGCTCAATGAGGAGACTGAAGAGGAACGCCTGGATCGCATAGAAAGGGAGGAGGCAGAGCGCGACGCCATGAAAGAACTCGAGACAAAGGTCATCGATGCCAAAACCGAGATGGCCATCGCGGACGCTCTGGACGAGATTAGGTCGAGAAACGCAAGGCTAGAGAAGGCGGACCGCGAGGGCAAGGGAACCGAGGTACAACCCGATGCTGCCGACGAACGACGCAAGAAGCAGGAGGAAGAAGACGCAGAGGCTGCACGACAAGCATTCGCGAATCGGAGCATGCCTGACATCGGCGAGGAGACGATTGACGAAGACATGTTCGACGCGCCTATCGAGGTACCTGTTGCTACAACTTTCACCAAGAAGCCGAAGGAAAAGAAAGACTTTAGCGCAGCGTTAGGCCTGAAGAAAAAGGCGCCTGCCTCGACCCCCGCCCCTCAGGTCAAAGCCGCCGCACAACCCTCGAAATTATCGACCATGCTCGTAGCTGGTTATGATAGCGATGACGACTGAGCTGTTGGAAGGCTATTCCAAGCGTACAAGAGCAAGCAGGGCATACACGTACCCATGGCATCCCGGATGCCACCTAGGTCACACAATCAGCCACAACGTGGTGTATATTTGCGCTGGCCTCGTATAGATCGTTGAACACGGTATTGTTGGTGACTATGCGGTGAGTCTGCCATGGCTAGTGAAGGTGACTCATGCAGGACCAGCATCGAAGCTTGACGAGTCCATGAGGTTCATTACCGAACAGTCGCGAATAGTTCCTGCGCCCCAGAACACGGAAAAGGACTATGCGCATTCGACTGCCTTCTTATTCTGGTCGACGGAACCATCTTGTTATGGCATTTGCATTAGGCCGAACTACCGAGGCTGCTTTTGTAGCGCCTTGGAAACCGGTAGCGCCGGATTAATACCACACCCCATATCCAACTTAATCTATCCCCAGACCCACCTACCAGAAGAGGTTCTAATGACTTTGTGACTACGTTACCCCGCAAAAATGGTCACCTTCCCGGTCTGACGCTCCTAGGGTTCACCGAAGCTTGGGTACCTAGCCGTCTTAGGAGGGACAGCCGTTGCGCAACGCTCGTGACGTCGTATCCTTGACAAACTATGTGGCAACGCCGGATGGAACTTTATTTCACTGCCTTTATAAGTGGCCTTCCGCCTTCTCATCTGCTCGTCATATCCAGGCTTACCGTATTCCTTTCACGATGCGTCTCCTCACTTTGTGTAGTTTGCTTCCCAGCATTCTTGCTTTACCATCACAGACCCTCGACTTTTCAAGACATGCTATTGCATCTCGCGCCGACTCGTCTCTTACAAACTATCTCGGCGTCTTCTTCCTCGGCGACAAGCCTTCTGTATACTTCTACCTCTCCAATGGCAACAACGCCAACTCCATGACTGCTTTGAACAAAGGCCAAGCGGTCATCAACCCGACAAAAGGCACTCTTGGCGTCCGCGACCCTGCAATCATATCTGGCGGAGCAGCCGAAGCTGGAAAGAAGTGGTACATCATTGGTACCGATCTGAACATCGGGAAGACAACGTGGGATGCATCCCAACGCACGGGATCCCGCGGCATCTTCGTCTGGGAATCCGTCGATCTTGTAACATGGACCAACGAACGCCTAGTCACTGTTGAAGATGCGACTGCAGGAATGGTCTGGGCACCCAGCGCTATCTTCGACGAAGCCAAAGGCCAATACTTCGTTCATTGGGCGAGCAAGTTTTATCCCACTTCCGACCCACAGCACACAGGTCCACCTTCGTCGATCCGCATCCGCTACGCATATACCAAGGACTTCAAGACCTTTAGCACGCCTCAGGACTACATCAACCGATCACCCACCAACATTATCGACCAGGAGTTTCTGGCTCTCGGTAACAACGCGTACGCGCGCTTCTTGAAGGATGAGAGCGCGAAAACAGTCTTTACGGAGATCTCGACTAATGGGCTATTTGGCACCTGGACTAGACCTGCAGGTGCTAACGCCATCATCGCATCTGGCGTTGAGGGCCCCGCGCCTTACTGGGACAACCAAGTAGCCGGCAAGGCGCATCTCTTGCTGGACTTTTATGGAGCGGATGGATATAGGCCCTACGAGAGTACCAACGTAAGGAGTGGCCAGTGGACAGCGAGTGATAGGAGTGCCTGGCCTCAGGAACTGAGGCATGGAAGTGTATTGGGCGTTAATGCGTCTCAGGTGGAAGCGCTGAAGAAGAAGTGGGGGGCTTGAGCGTTTGGATGTCGGTGACAAGGCGGTCGCCCTTGGTTTCACTCGTACCTAGACGCTAAATGGGACAATTACGCTTCTGGAATTGCGTCATGGTAGACATTGCGGATTCGCATCGGGAGTTCCTCTCTGTCTAGACCTTGCCTTTGTCCAAGCCCCTTGTTCTTGTTATTCCAAACTGTTACTACTACACTTTCTTGAGATGAAGCTGCTATCCTACGGTTGTCTCATTAGTCTTGTTACTTCGGCTACAAGTGGAGTCGTATCTGGACAAGAGCTACATGAAGATTTCACTGCCATCAACTCAAGCTCCAAAGTCTCGATTGCGGCCGCAGATCCCCAACTTGCTGTCGACACACCGCCACCCCCAGACCATGACTCCATATGGCACAAGGCTTATTGTCGCGGCGCCGCCCTTGTCCGAGCCATGTCCCTCGACGAAGAAGAAAGCAACACGATGCTGCAATGGCCTTACACACAAAGTCCTTGGGACGGCGATCTAAAGCCTGAACTGAGAAAATGGGGCTGGCTCGACAACGAAGAGGACAACACGAACATCGACGATTCGTGTGACTTCGATGAGAAGTTGAAGATGAAGAACACTTTCGACGCTCTCGGTGTTGACACGCGACCGGCGGGGAAGGGTGGACCGAATCATTGCTTCAGATTACAGCATAGCAATGGGCCTACGGTCATTCGAGACAAAAATGGCAAGATGCCTTATTTGTCCAGTCAGCGTTACGAGGCAGATGGGAAGACGTACAGGGTCAGTAACCTACACCTTCATCAACGTGATGTTCACCAGGCCAACGTCTAATAACGCAACAGGTCACCGACGCCTACAGCACCGTAGGCATAAACCGCAACGACGGTATTCTCTACTTCCTCAACCGAATGTCACCTGAGCAAGGAGCCGCAGATCTCTGGAATTTGAGACCGGAACAAGTCGATAAAGCCGATTTGCCCAAGATCCGCTCGAGCTCTGACTTAGCTTGGGCGCTCTGGAACAGGGTTCCAGGAGAACCAATGATCAAAATGATCATGGCTCTCCAGATTGTTAATACGCAAACGGCTGAGACGATCATACCGAAGGCTTTGGAGGCGGTGGGAGAAACAGAGCTGAAGAGATGGCCGGGAACGGAGATTGTTGTTGGGTCAGATAATGACGCTGAGGCTGAAGCTGCTCTTGCGCTTATTGGTACGTCATTTCTCCTGCACATCGCATCCCGCTCTCTCTGACACTCTCTAGGCTCGCCCAATGGACTCGGCGCTGGCTACTTTCTTCTACAACACAAAAGGCAGCTCGGTGGCGCAAATTTCATCTACAAGATCACGATATTTAGAAACGATGGCGATGAGTTTGATGATGAGCCTAATCTCATTTTTCACGTTGACAAGAATACAACACCGATGCCGGATGTGGAAGACACTCCTGGTGCGCCGGAGAAACCGGCGGAGAAGGGTAGCGCGGCGGTTCGAGAGGGTAAGGTAGTGAGGAGGAGTAGGGATGGGAAGAATTTGGTTAGAGAACATGTCGTTTGGGCGAAGCTTTGATGGGAAGGCAGTAGCGTATCGCAAGAGACTAGATATGCTCTTGATCAAACTTCCTAGAGCCAGGCACAGTGACATCAATGCTGCTCTTATAAGACTTATTAGCGAACCAGTGCGAGGGATGACACGGTCGCAATGTCTCCTTCGAATGTGCGTTCACATGTCAAATATCCCAGTGCGCGGTCGTGCCTGCTTTCCAAGGTTGGCTGAATGACGCCAGTCTCGCCTTCACTTCGCAGGCAGGTCGCACTTGCTCCGAGTTCCCCCGCGTTTCGGTCACTCACCCTTGCTTAGGCATGTTAGAATTACTCGCTTGCCTGGGGTAGCCTACAGTCACCACATTCACATATTCCCTTTCACGTCAACCGGCCGCAACACTCCGACTGCGATACTACGATCTCGTATGATGAAGCTCATACACATCATCTGTATCACGGGTCTCTTCGTCCTTGGCGCGACTGAAGCTTTGCGCAACGACACCAGTGTCAAGAGAGAGTCTCCTGAGTGCCGCTGGCACCGCCGCAGCCTGAACGCTAGAGACGACAGCGACGACAACGACGACAACGACGACAACGACGACAACGACAGCGACGACAGCGACGACGACTTTTGCTTCGGTCTACAACCTGCCGACGATGCGCTCTGGCATGCAGCAAAATGCAGGGGCGGAAAACTACTTCTCGGGACCACCCAAAACGCTCCGGAAGCTGCACGATTCGTGAATCCCATCAATTCTCCCTGGGACGGCGAGATGAGAGACGATCTCTTCAAGTGGGGTTGGAAAGATGGAGTTACCGATCCCGATACAGAGTGCAATATCGACTTCCTCAAGCCTATCCTCCCGTACCTCAGAACCACTACAGGCAGCCACCTCTACGGCGGACCAAACTATTGCTTCTCGGTAAAGCATTGCGACAGTGATGCTATGGAGAAGGATGAAAACGGAAACATGTACCCCAGGAAAGAACAGTACTATGACGTCGATGGTCGATTATACAGGGTGAGTTCATATTTCGAGTCCCGATACGATCTAGCAACCTCCTGCTAACCTAAGCAATCGCGATACAGGCCACAGCCGGTTTCACTACGGCGGTCGTCAACCCAGATGCAGGCGCGATATTCTTTCTTCAACGTGGCTCTCCCGCATTCGAAGCCCGCGACTTATGGGGTTTAGAGGACCAGCATACAGTCGATCCAAATGAGTTGCCGGCTCTGCGTATGAGTTCGGATCTAGCATGGGCATTTTGGAGACGAGCGAGTACCAATCTCCTGAAAATCTGGATTATAGCATCTTTGACAGTCGTCAATTCCGAAACGGAAAAGATTATCGACAGAGCGCTGAAGGAATCCCAGTTGAGCGAGGTTCCAGTCTGGCCGGGGGTCGACTACACACAAAACACTGACAGCTATCTGGCTATCTTGGGTACGTTTGGTTTGTTTCTTCCCCATACTTACACATGTAGAGCGTTGCGCATATCCTTTTTGACACGAAACTGACCAGAACTACGTGATAGGATCCCCCAATGGCAGGGCAGCCGGATTCTTCCTCGCTCAACACAAGCCCCAACTAGGTGGCAACCGCTGGGTCCAAACGATCCGCGTATTTCGAGTAGACGCAGACACATCGGCACCCCATATTTTCTTCTTCGTCGGACCCGCGCCCTACCCCCCACCGAAGGTACCGGATGATCTACCCGATCCTATTATACCGCCACCAGCGCAAGCGGTAGAAGTGGTCAAGAGAGTTTCTGATGAGAAGAACATAGTCAGACAGCACGTGCTCTGGGCGAAGTTGTAAGGGTGCGATTTCCCGTATACGACTTGGGCCACGTTGGACCGACTCACATATATGTATGCTTAGTATATGCCATAAGCTTATCCAAATGCTTCTTCGGGTTGAATGATATCTGTGTGTTTCACTTTCAGACTCGCCACTCTAATGCTTCTGACTCTTGCTGCTTACCTTCAATGACCCTTCACTCATATTGCAAACACTCCGAGTGTCACTCGCGTCATTCCGGGTACGTACGCGTCGTATCACTGGAACTAACGCCCTTTACCCCATCGACCCGCTTACATCTCTCATGTACTCTCTCACCGCAGCGCCTACCACCCCGCACTGATCTGCAACATGAAAGTCCACCTAATTTCATGTCTCGCCGCGTTTCAGAGCCTCGTCGCGAGTGAGGCTCTATTACCCTCCGTCAACGAGACGTCACGCGATCTCTCCAGCCTGGTCACTGGAGACGGACATAGCCTACTCAAAAGAGCACCCATTGCGCCAGCCAACGACCTCCTCTGGGTGACTGCCGGTTGCCGCGGCCAGAAACTCCAGCTAATGGACACGCTCAATCCACAAGAAGCCCAGCAGTTCGGTACTCCACTAAACAGCCCATGGACTGGAACACTCGTCAACGAGCTTGCGCTGTGGGGTTACCTAGACAACAGCGAAAACAGAGATATCAAAGATGAATGCGACTTCACCATGAAGCCGATGTTCGAAACTGCACTGAAGGCTCTTGGAATCAGCGCGAGGAGTGCCCCGGATGGCGGACCGAACAAATGTTTCTCCTACGTACACAGAGACAGTGCCGTTGTTCAGAAGTTGCCAAACGGCCAGCTGCCAGCCAGAAACCAACAGCAGTACGTCGTCAACGGCAGAACCTACAGAATCACGGGCGCATTCCACACCATCGGTATCAACGCGCAAGACGGCGTCATTCACATGATCAACCGCCGGTCAGCCCAATCTGCGGCCAAACAATTATGGAACGTCGCTCAAGCTCCAAAAGACCAGCTACCAGCCCTCGCTTCGAGTTCAGACATCGCCTGGGGTCTATGGGAGAGGATGAGCGCCGGTAACCTCGCCAACATCAACTACATCTTCTCCCACCGAATCACCAACGAAGAGACACGCGCCATCATCGCGCGCGCTTTGGAAGGCCGAGAGGTACGACCCTGGCCGGGAGAGATGTTTGAAGCTGGAATGGCTACGGAATACTGGGCTTTATTGGGTATGTTTCACACGGCCTCTTGCTTGCAGGACGTTACACAGTGCTGATGTATGACTTCTAGGATCGCCGAACGGCATCGCGGCAGGCTACCTGCTCGGACAACATAAACCCCAGTTTGGTCACAACAGATACGTGTCGGCTATACATGTCTTCCAGGGCGCACCAGGAAGTCCATTCATGGGGGTACCAGCTTTGCCGTACATGTGCTTCGTTGTTAAGCCGGCGCCGTACCCGCCGCCGCCTCCTCCGCAGGAGATTCAGATGCGACATGTTGCGCTGAATGAGCCTATTGCTATCGATGAGGACGAGGACAGAGTGGTAGCGCGGTCTGAAGATGGGAAGAGCATTGTGAGGAGTCATAAAGTATTTGCAAAGTCGTGATAGAGGGTGGAGGGATAGTTAGATTGGAGAATGCAAAAGCTCGATGATGTTTTCTTGCACATATCATCATTTCTGGAATGTACGCGTAGATCGAGTGCATTTAATAGGGTTCGCTTCGTGCTAGTGATCGCATATTCTCAAGCCGAACCGATATTGTCTAACCATCTAATCGTTCCCTTCATGTACACAAAACCATCTACTTGAGGGGCAGCACCGAAGGCCGGTTTCTACGTACCTAGTCTGAGCGGCCTGCAAAGACAACGTGTCGTCTTATAAGACTTGTCCCATCCCCATCCCCATCAACAAGATTCGACTCCACCAATCCAGTGCCCTTATCCTTGCCCTTGTCCTTATCTTCAGGCTCCGCCATCTCCGGCGGCGGCGAGGGCACATCGTCGACGTAAAAGAGAATGTTCCTCAGCGGGTCTTCCTTATCGGTCAGGAAGACGTTGATCTTGGAGATGTACTTGTCCTTGCCCAACTGTTTCTTGTGTTGCGCAAGGAAATAACCTGCGGCTCGACCGTTCGCGGAACCTTTTGAGCGATCTTGTTAGTAACTGAAGGTAGAACGAGATGTTGATGGGAGACACCCACCGATAATTGCTAGTCCTTCCTCCGACTTTGGATCAATCTCCGTTCCTGGCCACTTCTTCAGCTCTTTGATGCTCTTTTTAGCGATCGCTTTATCGATGATTGATTGGGTTTCTTTGTTTGCGATGTACAGGCTGAATATCTTGCGAATGTCACCGAGGTTATCCTGTCCGCGTATCTTATTCCAGAGGCCCCATGCGAAGTCAGAACTGGCGCGCAGTTCGGGTAGCTCAGAGGCTTTTGGGGTGTATTTCCAGAGCATCTTTGCGGTTTCGAAGGGGCTACTGCGCGAGACGAAGAAGAGTGCGCCCGCCTTAGCGTTGACGCCGAACGTGTACGTGGAAGCTGTGCACTAGGCTCTGTGTCAGTCACCCCCAAAATTTGCTATGATATTCGGCTTAGCAGGTTGATGCGCAAACCCAACTTACCCGCTGCCTCTTGCCCGATGGATCAAGATAGTATTGTTTATCGATTGGCAACATCCGACCTTCGGGGTCATCCAGGTAGAAGGGATCTTTTGGATCAAAGAGAACGGCCGGACTGTTGTAGTGGAAAGCGCCGAAACACTGATTATCTCCTCCTTCGCTGAGCGACTTATCGCTTATGTCGAGGGCTTTGAAAGAAGTCGTCATCCCATGGAAGCCGAAGGCGCACCAAGAGTCCTCGTCCTCCCATAGATCCCAGGCCCACGCTAATCCCTCTTTCTCTAGATTGCCGTCCCATTTGCTGCTGAGGGGATCGATGTAACGTGTGCCTTGATTGCCGTCTCTGGTCATCGCGAGGAAGAGTTTCTGGCCTCGACATACCGCCTTTTCATACTCTTCATCGCTGATTGCTGAGGCATGGATGACGAAGCCGGGGTCTGCAGGGTTGTAGCCAGCAAAGTCGATTGGAATGACGTTCCTCCTGGAAACGTGAAGGGCTGAGATATTCAAAAGAGGCCCACGTGGCGGGCTGAGACGCTCACTTGCGACCAGAGCGACTAATCCCGTCCATGACAGGAAATTGAGTGCCTTCATCGCGACGGAAAAGGAAGAGCGCGGTAGTGTGTGACTAGTTGAGGCTGAGCGGCGGAAGGGTACGCGAAAGCGGGGGAGCAGAAGAACAAGTAGTTCCGGCGGGAGGTGGGGAGGTGAAGGGTGAGCAGCCTGGATATAATCTTTGCCTAAGGTGCACGAGCAGTCGAAGGTGTAGAGCTGGGGGCCCGACCCACACTGCGTTCTAAGCGTACTACGAAAAAGGTTTAGTTGCAAGCGACTCTACTGTCATTCCGTTTCACTCAACAGTACAAAATATTACCGCCACCGAGATACAGTGACGGCGTTACCTGCTCAGCAATGACACTGGCCTTGGACCCTCGACCTTCAGGTCCTAGAAACCCACGACGGGTGTTTCCACCTCTTCTCCCACGCGTGCAGTCATGCTGCCCGTCGCCGTGAGTCAGAGAACAGTCTGGGTGATGTCAATAGCATGAAGCCGAGATGTCATAGTTGCAAGCCTTTCCTGGCCTTCGTTCCATAAGCTGTAGTTGTCTCATCTTTGTCCGTTGAACAATATCGCCTGAAGCTCTGTTTTTGCGACCATGCTAATTGACAGAGTTTTTTTGAACTTGATCAGTACTTCCTTGAGGCATTATTGTGCGGGCGTTTGTTGTAGATGCGATAGAAGGTGCGTGCCAACACCACCTACATAGCTGGATGGTGCTGAATCAACAATGGAGACACGTCGTCTAAACTGTGGTTCGTTGCGAAAGTGGTTCATTGATACCGCTCAACATGCTGACAGAGTGATGGTTGACGGATGGTGAGCTCCTTTTGGGTGTAACGGTACACGACGTTGACAGACGCGCGTGGATTGATGCAGTTTAGCAATGATCGAAGCTCGTAGCGTTGGGGCATGACAATGTAGCTGGAAATGAGACAGAAGTAGCCATTGAATAATGTGAGGAGCGTCGCATCCCATAACCGTTATTTTGGGTGTGGATGGTGAAGCGAAACGCGTCGACGCGTTGTTCGGTCTAGCCTGACTTGGAATGACAGATTAGTCAGCGGGAAATGTCGGGGCAGGTAAGCCGAGCGGTTAATGCAACACGCGTCGACGCAACACTGTCAACAGCTTCCATACACTCATCAGAAGATGCTTTATGTGCACGGTGTCTTGTCGAGATGGATTCCATTCTGTACCTATCTAATCACGCACATGTGCATGCGAACAGCCTTTGACTACAGCCTATCCCACCCTTCGTCGACCCTTTCGCCGCTTCATCTCCGATCCGCGTCTCTGCGCTGTTGGACTTCTGCTATGACACCGCTTACATTTACAGTCATACACGAATCACATGCTCTCTAAGCAAACTCCGTCCATCCACGCCCTTTCTCACTACCTTCTTCTCCTCCAATCCTCAACAACGCCGATTGAACCCACATTCGAGACGTCCGCCAGTCGCGCGCCACCGACCTCTCCATAAAGATTGGGTGCATCTCTCACCCAAAAGATCAGGGTCGGATAATCGTCATCCGTAACGGGTTGCCGCGCTTTGAAGACTGTGATCTTGGAGATCATCTTGTCACCTCCTCGTTGCTGTTTGTGCTGGGCAGGGAAGAAGCCGACTGCTACACCGCTCGGAGAACCTGTAGTGTAGTCTGCCAGCGCTATGAACCTACAGATTTCCCCATCAATAACAGGGGTGTGGCAATAGCTTTCATGCCGAACACACTGGACATACCCAAGATAGCGACGGCTTCGACAGAGATGATGTCGAAGTCAGTTCCTGTCCATTCCTGGATACTGTCCACTTTCGTGTGCCACGGTGGCGGCCTATGGGTCTTGATGGCGAGGTTCAGAATGTCCATTGTCTGCTCATTGTCGACACTCAGACTCCAAAAAAACCTTTGATTGGAGTATCGTGAGGCTATCGATTCCAGAAGCCCCATGCAAAGTCATCGTTACTTCGCAAAACCGGTAGGTTTCTCGATCGTGGTGCGTTTGGTCGCCACGAGACTGTCGCAGATTCGCGATCGCTTTTTCTATTTATGAAGTAAACCAGACCCGCGTCAGCGTTGACGCCGATGCTGGAGAATGCACCAGTGACCTGAAATATCAGCGAGGTAAGAGAAAGAGGAGGAGAGATGGATTTACCCTCCTGTTCCATCCATCGGGATTCGGATGAGTACTAACCCCTTTCTCTCCGGTGCTAGAATGTCCAGTCTAATGGTTGTTTGATGAATAAACAAACATGCTGGCAGCGAAAGATCACGATTGTCACTAAGTGGATTCAGCGTCCGCGCGCCATCTTGAAGATGTGGAATGTATTCTCGTGTTATTTTCCACTGAATGATACTGCGCTCTACTGAATACCACCTTTCCTGCTTCGCAATTGTGGCTGCGGTCACATCATCCATGAGAAACTTGCGGGCGCACTGTCCCAGCCCTACAAGCCAGTAACAACGGCGGCGGGAGTGTGACGCATACTTTGTAGTGCCATCGTCTTGAGTTTTAAACACTCGCAATTAACGCGAAATCATCGATCAGCAAGGAATGCGATTCTCACGACGAAAGTTAGATGCCCGAGCAAGCATAATGTGTAGTCGTTCTTAACTTTTCCCGATGCAGTAGTCCGTGGTGTGTACTTCTAGGGAAGGTTTGCCGAACCCCGCATTACCGTGTACACACACGCGTCTAGCCAGCGCTCGCGTCGAGACGACTCAACAAGCAATTGGAATTGCTTATAAGCAGTGATAGGTTACGATGTCCTTTCAGAGTAGTGAACAGAATCCATCTTCTGATATATTTCCATCATGAACGGCCATGCAGAACCGAGCAAGCATCAACGCTTCGATGTGCCTGCCAAGATGAAAGCATTACAGTAGGCATGCTCGGCGCGAAACATACGATATCTGATTGCTGAGATAATCAAGATACTCTGGCCCCGAGAGATTCGCAGTCGAGACCATCGATGTTCCAACAATCGGTGATGATGATGTTCTTGTACGACACACTATTCATCACCCCGCGGTATTTGCTGCGCTAACACACGGAAGGTCAAGATCTCAGCCTGCGGTGTATGCGGAACAGTAAGTAGAAGAAGAGGAGAAAGACTTTGGGGAGTACATCATACTGACCACCTTGAAGGATTTGCATTACCAGTAAGCTTCGGATGCGAAAAGCTTGCGACGCATGCACTGACTCGACATGTTCACATCTGCAGCAAAGGCGAGTTCTTAGCGCAGGTGAGATCATCGAGAAATTATGTATTGAGCAAAGCTAACGTTCTTGAAGTATCCTTTGATACCCGGTACGAGCGATCGTTCACCTCTCTACACACCTCACTCACCTTCCCAGGCCACGAAGCAGCAGGCACCGTCGCCGCTATCGGCAAGAACGTCAACAACGTCGCAGTTGGTGACCGCGTAGCAGCCGATGCCTTACAGCCATGTCTGAACTGTTTTTACTGTACGCGCAGAAAGACCCAACTCTGTGAGAATGTCACCGGGTATGGCGGTAATGTTCCGGGTGGTTTCGCAGAGTACTGCAGATATCCAGCTCGCATGGTTTTCCCTATTGGAAACCTTCCAGATCTAGAGGCCGTCTTGCTCGAACCCGCCGCATGCGCAGCGCATGGTATTGAGAGAATGCAGATGGAAGTCGGAAGCAGAGTACTGCTTTTTGGGTGCGGACCGACCGGCATGCTGTTAGCTCAGTTGATCAAGATGAATGGCGCTGCTCATGTATGCAGCACGTCCAAAAGTTAAGCGTAACTACTAACGCGACCTAGTTGACCATCGCTTCAAAAGGCGGCCCGAAACTCGATCTCGCGCGCGAACTCAACATCGCCGATTCCTACATCACCATATCTGATGATAACCCCGGAGATGACATGGCCGCGCTCTCGACCGACAATCCCTACGGTTTCGATATTGTCGTGGAAGCCACAGGCGCACCGACAGTTTTGGAAAAGTCCATCGAGTACGTGCGTAAAGGCGGTAAGCTGGTGGTTTACGGCGTATACGACGAAAGTGTGAAAATTGCATGGTCGCCCTTCCGGATTTGGGAAAATGAGATCACGATTCTGGCTAGCTTCTGCAGCATGAGTCACATACCGCATGTCTTGGAGTATGTGAATGCTGGGAGGTTAAAGTTGGGCGGCATTGCGAGCAAGACATATCGAATCGAGCAATGGGAGGAGTGTCTGGACGCGGTGAGGAAACAAGAGGTTGTCAAGGCTGCTATTGTGTTCGACTGATGCATGAATTCGGCAGTGCAAAACGCCGTGACATCTTCAATATTCTATACGTAACATTCGGGTGTACGGTATATTGCAAAACACGAGATGTGGTACCGTCGCACTACGAAGGCCAAGACTACCTATGAGTACATCTTCTTGTGAAAATCGGTATTCGCCAGATCCACAGCCCGCTTCGTAGCCTCAATGAGGTCCTCCTTTGGAAGTTCCAATTCATCGTTGCTCAGCTTATGATCCCTCTCGAACAGACCTGCCTCATCAATGAAGTACCTCGTGTACAAAGCTGTCGCAAAAGACATGCGATCACCCATCATCATCTTCTCCCTAGCAGTTGCCAAGCGCTGCTTCAACGGCTCCGACGTAATCTTCCAGTCTTTCTCCGTGGTGCCAGTAACCTTCTGTACCGCCTCGAACATCTCCCGTTGGTTAAGGGCGAACGACGATACGAAAGTCATCCGGTTGCGGTACTGCTCCAGTGTCGGCCCGTTGCCATCAGATGCCGATACTGGCAAAGATAGCAAGTTCGCCACAGCCAGCCCGGTCTGGGGCCATGTGGCAGTGTTCAGTCGCTGCTTCCCATCGTCAAAGTACACGACCTCTCGTTTCGGAATATCGATGCCGAAGTAAGCGCCGCTGAGAGAGTACTCGTACCAGAAGCCGGAGGTCACGCCTATCCACGAGGAAACTCCGAGCGACTCGATAAGATTGCGAGCTATCGCCTTGCCAGGCCCAATGGTTTCGTTCTGGATCTCTTCCGTGTTGTACATGCCGAACTCGTTTGGTAGAATCCATGGTACGCCAGCTTGGGCTGCTCCACGAATGAGCTTCTCCTGCGCATTACCACCGAATACGCTCATTGTGATGACTAGTGCATCTTGTCCGGTCAGGGCTTTGACTATGGTGTCTTGACTGTCGTAATCGATGCGTGCGACGTTGACGCCAGATGGGAAAGTGGCCTTGGACTCCGTACGCGTGATGGCGGTGACGTTAAAATGGTTCTTCGCAAGGAGAGCGGAGGTAATGTATGAACCGACGTTGCCATTGGCACCGACTACGGCGATGTTCTTGAGTTTGGATAGCAATGCCATATTGACAAGTGTGAGGACGAAGGGGTGTAGAGTGAGGAACACAGAAGCGTGTTGAATTGTCACTTCAAAACTTGGGAGTGACTTCCTTCTATATACCTCTTGAAATACATGAGGAAAGATCACTGTTGGGAGGCATACGGTCGGTATTCGGTCGTAACCTTCTAGCTCCGCCCATGCATACCTAGACAAGGAGGTGCTCCTATGCTGCAACCAGTGTAGCTCGATGAGCCAATACACAAAGGTTCGACTGGCAACACTGATGGAGCCTTGTTCAGGCCTCCAGATCCATACAAAACAAGCTAAGTATGCACCGAAGTCCGATTGCTGACATGATGTGTCCGAGGTGAATAGACGTTAAAGCGCGAGCACCGAAGTGTGTGGTGATGTCATCTACAGATTCGGTTAGCGCGCCTGGCTATGGCCCAGGCGCCCATCTCCACATCCGCGGTCAACAATTCCGCGCATGGAAGACGCGTCAAAAGAAGGGGCGACGGACGTCCTCCCGACTTCTCATCATACGAGTTTACCCCAACCAAGTCGGATGTTACGCAATGCTCGTTCCGTCTCCGTCATTTCGCTGGAGTCTTGCGCGCACGAATGCCACGCCGCATAAGTGTGGCCGCCTAAAGGAAGCAGCTCAGCTGCAGACGTTCGCCAATCATGAGTGTCTTGCACAGCCCCTCCACCAGGGGACGAAAGTCTCAGGCCAGCCTGATTCTCTCCAGCAATCGCGACAGCATCGCCTCGACAACAACGCAGAGTCTGCGACATGACGGCTATTCAGGATTACCAGTACGGACCACTCGCAAACGATGACAACACACGTTTCATACAGTTGTACCCCGCGGCGCACTTCGAAGATCCCATACGCGTCGACATCATCGAACGGGCTTACGATGCCTCCAAGACCCAAGACTCCGTCAGCTACGAAGCTTTATCGTATGCTTGGGGCTCAGATGAAGATTCAGCGTACATCTTCGTTGGGGCGAACTCTGGCTTGCGTGTCCGTTACAATGTTACCCAGATCCTGAGGTACCTGAGGGACGGGATTACCCCAGGATGTAGTGCCCGAACCCTGTGGATTGACGCTATGTGCATCAACCAAGCGGACGACGAGGAGAAAGGAAAGCAGGTTACCGTGATGGGGAAGATATACGCATGTGCTACGAGTGTGCTCATATGGACTGGAGAGCCCGGATGCGATTTGCAAGCGCTACAGCGCAGCTTTGAGGGCAAGGGGAAAGAGAAAATGTTTCGATGGATACGCAGACGACCAAACGATCAGATAGCTCGCTTGATGCAGTTCTTCGGGACCGGATGGTTTACGAGGCGCTGGGTAGTCCAAGAGATTGTGCATGCCCGCGAAGCCTACATCATTTCCGGTAGTTGCACAATGCAGTGGCAGCAGTTCCGTGCCTTTGTCGAACATCTGGAATCTAACATTTCCTACGAAGCATTGATGCCACATTCTGCGGCAATCTTGCATCACTTGAGCAATCTCACTGCAGTGAGATATACCGAGTCTGACAAACTGTCTCAGTGCGATGAGAATACTACTGGTACCCAAACGGATCGCATCGCAGCTAGAGCCGAAAATATGACGACACTTTTGACACGGTACTCTGCTACCCGATGTGCAGATGATCGCGACAGAATCTATGCACTGCGAAGTCTCAGTTCGACACCTATTCCAGTCGACTACCAAGTCTCAGCCAATGGGCTATATGACCGATTAAGCAAGATCGAGGTGATCAGATTTCCAATGGCCATAATGAGCTGCGCTGGGTCTTTCGGTGGACTCGCAGCTTCATGGGTCCCGGATTGGAGGTTGCCCATGCGATACAGTCCTTTCCAGTCGTCTCTCAAGATGCGATGCCCAGTTCCGCCAGTAGAGGGATCGTTGGTCACCGTTACCAACAACCTGCTCGCGATACAGGCAAGATTTGTTGGCGTCATTGACAGTGTCTTAGATCCATCGAGACGTACATATGCGTCAGATATTAAGACTATGTACAGATGGATTGTTTATTTCGCCCAATATCTCAAGGCCAAAACGATAGAACTGGAATCGAAGCATGGAATGATCTTGTATTGTACTCTGAAGGTTATACCTATCGACGAATACGTTGTGGATTCGGAGCCCTCTTCTTTCGAAAAAGAGCCGCGATTATGTTGGGAAGAACACCTCCGTTCTTGGACATCCGACGAGAAGCAAGGGGTAACTCCGTCAATGCTGTTTTATGAAGCAAGAAGTATGGGATTTGCCCACACAAAGAGAGGCCGCTCGTGCTTTTTCACAAGTGCAGGGCAGTTCGGGTTAGGGCCAGACAACATCCAGATCGGCGATTGCGTGGTGAACATGCCAGGATGTGACTCCATGATGGCGTTACGTCCAGTCGATAATGAAAAGAATATCGAGCCAATACATGGAGACATTGTACAATCTCAGCATCCGGCTATGACGGTCGTTGGTGACTGCTGGATACCTGAACTCATCAGTTCTAATCAGCAAAATACTACACCTGGTCTTTGCACGTTTCACGTCGTATAAAGGGCAGAGCCTAGCAGCATCTGTGCGTACTTTTTTCCACGGATATTTGCATTAGCCGATCATGTAGACGCAATGATGATACAATGATCATTCCAGGCGCGCTACCATCCATCCCCCCGTATATGAACCGAAGCCACCTTAGCGAGCATCCCGTTCATCACCAACCACCCGGTCTTCCTCTTCCTCAACATACTCGTCACCCTCGCTATCCTCGGTTTCATCACCCATGGCTTCCGCATTCTCCGCATTCCTCTGCGGCCTTTCCCGACGCGGCCGCCTGACAAACATCGACCCTCTTTGTGGCGTGTGTGAGTTATCTGGCACCCGAGTGATTACAGGCGTACGATGTGGTCCGTTCTTCAGAGGTGCCTGCCATGGCATGCCCGGTGCTCCACGCCTTTCACGTATTGCACACCCTGATTGATCCCCAGACATACCCATCGAACTTGGACCTTGGCTTTCTAAACCAGGTGGAGGTGGACGAACCTCAGGTTCCATGTGCACGGGCTCCCCGTACTCGAAACCCTCATATCCTTGGCGCATTCCATAAAAGTGTTGGTTGAAGTTTTGATTATGCTGGAATGCCTGTCGCCTTGGAGCTGGCGGAGCTGTACGGTATCCATCCTCAGAAGGTGTATACCAAGCTGAAGCGGCAAATGGGTCGGGCCGTCTTGGACGTTCGATTCCATAATAAAGCGGTCCTGGTCGGGCTGCGGGCATTCCCAGCGGGGCTTGCGCCGTGATGGACGTGCTGAGGCCTGCCATGTTCCTCGCCCAGGAATGCAAAGCATCCAGTTCACGAAGGAAATTGTGAAGCTCGGTTTGCTCGATAAGGAAGTACGTTGACCGCATGTTGGATGGTGTTGTCGTATAAGCCGCCTAGAGGAAGTACCGGATGAATTGCATTGCTCAGATTACTTGACGCTCTGATATATAGTCGTTCGAAGTGAGATGCGCTGGGCTAGATTGCTGCGTTCGTAAGCCACGTCTACTAATTGCCTCCTCACAGACGAGAGAACGAGCGCATTATAGAGTGTTTGATGGACACACGGAATTCGGTTGGCACTGCATATCAGACTTGCTCGCTAGCTCACACTATACACAAGTTTCTATCGACAGATCGTTCCCGTCTGCCTGCCCCCCACGTGCTTGCGATGTATTGTCTAGGCCCATACCACTTATTCCTATACATCGTTCCCTCTTATTTCTCAACGGTAGACAAGCTAGACGTGGGGAGCTCACAGCTGATACGAATGCTAGCTCGGTAACGCCAGCGACTTGACAGACTTATTCGGCAATCTCAAGTAATCGGCAACAGCCTCACCAAACGGCATCCTCTCCAACACTCCTCTGATCTTAATCTATCTTGCTCCTACTGTCTCATTCTAACTGCCTCTCTCACATCACAAGCATCCTGAAAACCAACACGACCACAACAGGCAACCAGAACGCTATGAGACCCCTATCCACATTGGTAAACCGTGACACACCACCTACACCGTCTAGCCGATTCGGATGTAAATAATCATGAGTAAGCACTAGCATGCGCTCGATGATATAGTAGGAAATAGAACCAGCAAGGCTAACCGCGAACACGATCTCAAGCAAAGATAGGGCGATTACGAGAGGTAGGAGGAAAAGAGGTGGATGGGCGCGTTGGTCGGGCATTGTGCTAGATGGAAGACGATAGGTTCAGACCGTGTTAGTCAATGTGGGGAGGACGAGCATGCAAGTCACAGCAGAGCAAGATGTGATGCATGTTTTATCGTATATTTTCTAGTCTATTTTCTCCTCTCCTCCCCCGTTTCCGTGTTGATAATAGCGCCCTTTACATCAAGCGGCCGCGATGATAATGTGATGATGATGAACATGCAACTCCGTTCGCGTCGCTTAGCCGCTTAGCCGCAAACGCTACTAGCCATGATGCAGCCCGTGAAATGAGTGATGGTAATGTCGTCGAACGCAGAAGTAAAACAAAAAAGAGAAAGACAAAGGGAAACGAAGAAAAGCAAACGCCGTGCTTTGTTCTTCCGTGAACTGTGTCCGCCCAGTATGGTATCGTAATGCGAATGACCAAACGCCTTGCTGTGTTCTTCCGTGAACCGTGTCCGCCCAGTGTGGTAATGTGAAGCAGATAATCAAACGCCGTATGCAATGAGTAAAGGTGTAGCCCGGTGCCGGTCGAGATATCCTGTAGCCAAACACCGAATGCAAAGACTGCGAGGTAATCCTGCAGCCAAACACCGAATGCAAAGACCGTGAGGTATCCAGACGCCGATCAGGATGTCCTGTAGTTAAACGACAATAGTGTGAGGGTGAGGTGTGTCGGTCTGCCATGAGGTTGTCCAAGCGTGCCTCGAACGGACGTGGTGATGTAGTCTTAGAACGAGTTGTCGGGGATGTTCGACTTCGCAGGTCGATAGCCAGCGTAAGGGCCAGCGTGCTGCATCTGCCAGTGCAACTCCGCAGACTGCTCGCTCTTCTGAGCTTCTTCCTTAGCCTGATTGGATGCGAGCCAGCTTGTGAGCTTAGACCTGAGTCTCTGCTCGTCTGGATCCTCTGTGTTCTCCGGCTGCTGCTCTGTAATTGGCTGCGCGAACTTGGCTACCTTGGTGGCTGGGCTTGCCTCATCGTCGTCAGAACGAGGCCTCTTCAGCTGAGGCGCCGGTTGTGTTTGCTGAATACGTTGTGGCTGTGGCTCCTGATGTTGCTGAGCTTGTGGAGTTTGCAGAATACGTTGCGCCTGCGGCTGTCGATGTGGCTGAGCTTGTGGAGCTTGCGGAATACGTGGCGACTGCAGCTGTCGATGTTGCTGTACTTTTGGAGTTTGCAGAATACGTTGAGGTTGTTGCGCGAGCTGTTGCGGCTGCAACACCTGCTGTAGCTGCCCGGCTGGTTGATGCTGCTGCATTTGTTGCAGTTTCTGCTGTTGTAGCTTCTGCGCGTTTTGCATCTGCTTGTAGACATCGCAAAGATGCTGCTTTTGCTGTGTTCCGGAACCCTGTCTGAATCGTTGCAACTTCTCAGGACTGAACGAGCTGATGTATTGCTGTGTAAATCTGTTGAAGTGTGCCTGTCGCGCTGCCAGCTGTTGCGCTGCCAGTTGCTGCGCTGCCAGTTGTTGCGCTTCCTGTTGCTTTGCCTGCTGCGCCGCCATCTGCTGCCCGCGCGCCTTGTGAATCTCTTGCTGTTTACGTTGCTCGATTGCGTTCCTAACGATCTCGTTTTGCTTCTGGGAAGGCAACTGTTGAAACTGTTGCTTTGCCTGCGGGTCCAACCTCTGGAAATAGGCCATTCCAAACAGGGCAAACTGGCGGTTCTGACGTGCCTGAGCTTCCTCGCGAGTGGGAGGCTGCGCTTGCATAGTGGTCGGGCGCGGCTGTGATTGAGTTGATATGGCCTGACGGCGCATGTACTCGGCCATCATCTGCGGACTCATTTGCTGGCGCGTCTGCGGGCTCATCTTGGGAGTCGGCAGCTGCGCTTGAAGAGGAAAGGCCATCGCGGGATCGTGCGGTGACTGAGTCTGATAGCGACCGAGTGCGCCCTGTGGGGTTTGCGGACCGCTGGTGTAGCTATTCACGGAATCCCGCCTGACGGTGTCGTCGTTTGCTGCCATGACGAGCAACTGGTGTGGGCCGAAAGAGCAAAGGTCAAGGGTTGTAAAGATGAGAGTAGCGGATGAAAATACTCAAGTTGTGGGTGATGGGGATCAAAATAGAGGGCTGTGATAGTCAAGATGGTGGGATGTGAGAGTTTGAGTTGAAAGAAGGTGACAAGGCGGAAAAAGCCAGACTATATGGCCTCTGTGTGCGCATTACCACGCTCACCTAACCGAACGGAGCGAGAGATATTGCGAGAACAGGTGACTCAGTCGGACGGCCGGCCACAATAGAAGCGAAAGGACAAGTGAGAGTGAGAGGGAATAGCAACGGCCGCGCTGCTACTGGCTGCCCGATAGTCGTCGACCACAGAATTCAGGGTCCAGTGATCAAGTCCCTTAACGCCGACATCCCATGAGTCTGACAGCGTCCAGGAGGTTGAAGAAATAATTAGTCGCAAAGAGACCTACATATAATAATCCTGCGAGACTGACGATTCCAACGATATCGATATTGAGCTAGTATGCGGGAAAGTGAGAGCGGGAGCACGGGCCTCCAAGCGACTTAGAGGGAAGTGCGCGCGGGTTCGCCTAGGGACGGATAGCAATGCAGGCACGTTTGTCAGCACATTTCGTACTGAATCCAAGGGTGTTAACAAGCGGATGGCTCTTGCACATCGTTCCAAAATTCTCGTAAACTTGCTAGTGCGCCAGAATACCACAAAGATGCCGCGGTGTTTTACACACTCCGGCAGCCCCAAAGCGCCCAAAATAGGTAAATCAAACAAAGTGCGCTCGTCTCGACCTGTGTGACAGTAATCAATATGACATCGTCAGACTTCCAGTCCGAACCATGGTTGAGCCCCAGTCTTGAACGTGGACCAGCGTCTATACATAGCCTGCCAACACGCGTCAGCCCATAGTGCCCCAAACTCCTCTCATGATGAGAGAGCTGTCATATAATACCTTTCCTGGCGCCTTGGAAAAAGAAGCGGACAATGAAGACCTGCAGTCCTGCCATGGTCATAATCAAGCCCGACTCCATCAAACTGAAGTTGAATATCCTCTTCTCGGTGCTCTTGACGGTGCTGAAGTTGCGGTTCTCGCGCGTGCGGAAGTATTTCTGGTTGCGGGAGATGGTGGAGAGTTGCGCGGAGAGCTTGAGGATGGATTCTTCGAGGACAGAGGTCTGTTCGGGGGAGGAGCCCTGCTTGGATGGGATTTTGGCGCGGGCGGCTTCGTTCTCAACCTGTAAGAACATGGAGTCAGCATTATGGTTCGGCGATGTCTGGAGAGATATGGCCAGGTGGTACGTACGGCGATCTCGAAATCGACCATCTTCTCGGCGAATGTGCTCATCTCATTGTTAAAGCAGAAGCGGTATTCGCCCACATCAAGCGCTGTGAAGACAAAATCGCCCTGTCGCTCCTTGGTGCCATCGAGGATGACTTTGTCTGTGGGGCCGACAACCGAGTAGTCGACATCGAAAGAGCCTCCAGATTGCACCTGTTCACATGCCTGTTAGCTCGATTGCCATAGAATTTGCTGCTACTGTATGGCAATATGGGTTTGAACAGCCCAAAAGCAATTGCGCATTGGTCTTCTGGGTAGGACACATACTGCAAAGTAAAAGGCCAGCTTGGTCCCCTTGTTCTCAACGGTCGCGAAGAAGCATGCTTTCTCGTGTGCTTCTAATCGGTAGGTGAGAGCGGTTGCGTACACAGCCGTGGTATATGCCAGCAACGCGCTGAAGAGGGTGAGTAGTGACCGCATCGTGTTCGTTGGCGTGGACGACTGCGTTTGTTGATGCGTGCTCGTGTGCTGGAAGTTACAGCTGTCGACATCGAACGTCGGCGGTAGTTTTTGCCGACGCAACGCATGCAGGGAGGGAAGGCGCGGGGAACTAGCCACCAGCCAATGAAGATCAAGGCGACCGCGGACAGGTAGCGCGAAATGCAGATCCTCGACGCGTAGTCAAGTCACACTTATCATGTTGCGCGTTCACATGAACCTATTGCGACTGCTAACAGCTGTTATCTTTATTTTCGGAAATGAAAGCTGTGGTATATTGTTACGTTGTTCCTTACCGGAGAGGTGGCTGGTGTCTGGTACCACGGGATGGGTGGAAAATTCAGTCGACAACCACAGTGCAAGTTACACTGGTGACATGAAAGCAGAATGATGATATCTTTGGGACTAATCTACACTGCTTACTTACTGATCCAAAATGATACGCCATAATCATGTGCCCAACGCCTGCGCCAACCTCCCACGCACGCTACTCCGCCTATGCAATACTTGCAATATTTCAAGCTCCGTTGCGCCATGTATGTTGGAGGGTGCGCAACCAACGCTTTATTGCCACTCCCTGTGAAATGCTGGCAAAACTTTGCGGACAATCTCATGCCGATCGTACCCGTGCCGAGTAATGTTACGCACCGTGCTTTTCTTCGTATCTTACACAGTCATTGCGCTGCTTCAACGAATGAAGATGGAATCAGTCTTTCCCCAAAGCGTCTTTGTCTTGGCGGGGTGTTCAAGACCAAGTGATACATCGTCACGCGCACCTACCAAGTCCCAAAGTACTTCATCTGTGACTTCGTCAGTGCTGCAATATCACCATTGCCAAAGTGGCTTACCGTCATCGATTGGCTCAGGCTTCGCGTATTGACCCTTGCCGACAAGAGAAAACTTGATCTTGTCCAATTGCTTGCCCTTGATCTTGGTGAAGTCTGAGAGTCGCTGTTTTGTTTCGCTAAAAGGCTCGCCCTGATGTATGTTAGTGCAAGTAGAGGAGGTAGGCTTGTGGCTGCACGTACCTCTTTCAGCGCAAACTGGAACGGGATGCCATGTGCCTTCGATGGCTCCCTGTCAAAGTGGAATACCGATATCTTCTTCGATGCATCGTCTTCGGGGTAAGGTGCAGCAAAGATTGACGTGTAGTCGTAGAGGCTCATGACTGAGTGATCTTGCGGGAGGACCCTGTGGAACTTGTTCACATGTGCCTCGTAGACCCGCACCTTTTGCATCACCTCGTCGCTGATGCCCGCTTTCTTTTGCAGCGCTTCAACGAGATCCGCAACTTGGGCATTCTTGGGTACCATCAAAACGTGTTCCTCCTGTATGACGTTAGTTTGAAGCAAGAACAATCACTGTGTTCAACTCACCTCTTTGCTGAGACCCTCAGGGAGCCACACCACCTTTACAGGTTTCCTCAGCTCTAATTCCTTCAGGCTCATATCCAAGACCTCGTAAAACAGGGCGTCGTTTCGCTGGTTTGCGCTTGCCGAATAGTTGTATGGGCCAGGGAAGAGGATGTTGTTCAGAGTTGACGTAGGGTTGTACTTGACAGGGTTTTTAGGCTTGCCAGCAGTGCTAACCGTCGAGAAGCGGATATAGCTAGAGTCGGTTTTGAGGTACTCAGCCACCTTGCTGGAGAACTGGTCGTACGCCATCTTTTTGCTGAGAGTCAAGGAGAATGTGGGTAGATCTGTATCAGGCAGCTTAGGCACAAACTCGATGCTGATTCTGTTCAAGAGGTAGTCGTAGAATTCCTTTGCCTCGGTGTAGCCTCCCGCAGTGGTTATCTGGGCGGTTTCCTTGTCGCTCAGTACGCGCTGGACCGTGATGATGTCACCATCTTGTATCTCCGAGGCTGCCAGTGTGACTTTTGGCTTCATCGCTTCGATCATATTCTGTTTGATCTCCTCAGAAAGCTTGATCTGCGTACCCACTGGCCAGCCCAGCATTTTGGTGATTGCTGGAGTTAGATCGGAAACCTTGTCCTGGAATCCGGCGTAGAAGGTGCCAACACCGAATAGACTCTGCTCTTCTGCGTCGAAGTGCTTCAAAAAGATCATCAATGGGCGGTTGTTAGCCTGACCCTTGAGGTCCACTAGCTTCTCGCCAAACACTGGCGCGCCGCTTTCGTCGCGTTCTTGAGCTTTCTCGATCCACATCCTGAACTGCGACTGTTTCGTGCCATGTTTGCTTGCAGCCTCTTCGACGGTCATCTCCGGGAATTCCAGTGCGGTATCGGGGCGAATTGTGCCGTTTTGTCTATTAACCATCGACCACGGCCGCAACATATCGGCTTCGGTTCCTAAATCTTGGGCGACCGTAACCGCAAAGTCGGCCATAGTTGTGCTTCGGAGCACACGGTAGACCCTTGGGCTAGCAGGTGTGTCTGCGTCGGCTTTCCATGGGACGATGTCAAAACCTTGGTGGGCCTTGAACTGTTCATCTGACGCGACCGCAACGTCCATGTAGAGATGAGCTTCCTCGCGTTCCTTCTTCCTGCGCTCAAACAATGCCCGTTCTTCAGCCAGTCGTTCTGCCAGATGCTTCGGTGGTTCTACCGCCTTGCTGTCTATAAGAACTTGATCAAGCCTCGTCTCCCTAATGTATACCAACATGTAGGCGCTCATTGAGCGTTTTGCGGACCAGGCTCTGGTGTAGGGATTGCGTTGGCCAGTGTTCCCGTTGGCCTGGGCGTAGTCACCACCAAAGTTTTCTTCCAGCGCCTCACGTAGTGTCGCTCGAGTCACACGGTCGTCGTCGAATTTGTAATAGTGGCCGTCTTTCGTTGGCTTCAGGAAGGCATAGTAGTGGCCAGCGTTGAGATCACCGCTGTGAACCAAGACGCCGTGGAGGTGGTATATCCAGGATTCGGATCGATCGGCTCCGTCGGAGAGATATGGCGCAGCGTCCCACACTTCGGGGAATTCGTAACGGTCGTTCACCTTCATCATGGCGTCGCGCGTAAAGTCGTATTCGAAGCGCTTCAGCTGGAGATGTAGCACTGGCGGGAAACTTTCGAAGATGACTCCCTTTTTAGCGTCTTGCAACCCAAAACCCTCTGCAAAATACTTATTTTCGCCGTCCATGGTCTCGACCTGCACGTAGTCTTTGAAGCTGTCGTCCAGGTTCTTGTTCCCGCTCACGTTCAATTGTATGTCCCAGAAATCCTCAACCCGGGACGATTCGTAGTCGACGTTGATACAGGATATGTAGGTCTTCATTTTACCAACGAACATGTTGGTCAGGGCACCTTCGGCTTCAGTACCCTTCATCCTCTCATCGAGTTTGTCCATGAGCACACGGGACAACTCCTGTACGTCCTGCTGTTCGAAAATCTGCTTCGAGTCCCAACCAAACGAGTGTGTCAGCTCTGTGGTTCCTACGGCGTTGTTTGATGTTTGGAGAAGGTAGAAGAGTCGTTGTAGGGCGTAGGCGCTATTCGAGCGATCGGCTTCCTCGGCAGTCGGGATCTGGTAAACAGCCTGGCGGAGTCAGCTGTCGTTCTGCGTGTTGGGATTGGTGGCATACCTGGCGGAACGCATTGGTAAAGAAAAGTGACTGTAAGAGCGAGTTCAGATAGCATGTTGCGCCCTGGTTCTTTAAGCCGACCATGCCGGTCTCTTTCTTGGAGTCGTAGCTTTACAAGTCAGAAAACATCGTCGGCAGAACTGTGCATCCGTGAAACTCACTTGATGAAGTTGTGCCATAACACTCCCGTGGGGTCTTTGAGCACTCTTATGTATGCAGTTACATTGGCCGCATTGTCTTCTACCATTGGCCGTCCCCGGTCTTCCCAGGAGTTGCTGAAGAGCTTTCTGAGCTCTGCAAAGCGTGTGAAGCCCCAGTCGCCTTCGTCGGCAGTAAAGCGGTGGTGTGCGGTGTGTGTGGTGAATATGGTAGGGTCCTTGGGGTTCCAGAGTACAAGCATGAACTCGACACAGGCATACCAATCCTCTGGCATTTGCTTTTCTTCATAGGCCTGTTCCAGGTAGAAGGACGCAAAGTCGACGTTGTTACCGTACGGGAAAAATAGTATCCGCCAGGGATGACCGCCGCACTCAAAGACTGGGCCATGTTCACGTCGCGTGAGTTGGCGCCAGTCCCTGATCTCCCATGTGTTGTATACTTCGGCCTCAGTCTCGTACTCCGGGTTCTTGGGCATGTGTCTCTTCATGAAGGTATCGTACTCGTCGGCGCGGGGCTCGGGTTCGGCGTCGACCTCGTCCATTTGGTCGTCTGTGTCGGGCGTGATTATGGCCACGTCGGCCTTCTCGTCGTACTCGTGGTCCACGAGCATGTCGCTTTCGATCTGCGTGGGTGAGTGGGTCAGCGTGGCCGCGTCTGGCGAGACGCTGGCGAAGGCGCAAGCTTACCTGATCCATGGCGGCGTCGTCTTTCCGGCAGGTGCGGATGGAAGCGGGGGCAGATGGCAGGAAAGCGCTGCAGAAACGGGTCGCGGGGGCAGTCACGACTGGGTGCGCTCGACACTGCAAGGTGAAAAGGGAAGCTGCGCGCCTGTCGCCTAGAGAAAGGAAGGTACGGGTGGGCAGCACTTGCGCGGGCGGGATGCGGGTAAGGATAGGTTCCTCGCTAAAGGTGGCGGCAGTGGAGATATGACGATCGGATTATTGTCGTCTGGAAAACTCCAACATCAAGCATGTGCAAGGGCGAGGTGGACAACGAGGGCGCACAAAGACAAAAGCTGGGGAGCAGCTCTCGAGGCTCAGAACAGCAGCTCTCTTTCGACGGATGCAGCCTTGGCGCTCGATACAGTGGAGTGCGTCAAAGCAAAGCCGCGGCCTACGACGTCATTCGTCCAACATCACATACTGGCAAGCGGCATGCCACGCGCATATGTCGAGCTACAAACGCTCACCCAGCATGTTTGCCATTGTGCTGTGATATGACTGGCGGTGCCTTGAAATGCGCGCCCCTGTGCTTTTGCGACCGTTATTTAGAGGCTATGAGTGAAA